AGGGTAAAGGGTGAGGGAATTAGCAGCACCATTGCAGGTTGGCATCTCATCCTTAACCTAACAGAGGCAAAATGACTCGTCCACAGTGATCAGGTTGTCTCCCTGGACTTCGCCTCTTATTTAGACACTGGGACATCTGACCCAAAATTGTCCAAGAAAACAAATGGGCCAGGTTCTTCTTAGAATGTGCCTGTTCAGGTAGAGTGAGCGGAGGGAGATTTGTCCCAGGTGCTCTGTTCAGTCAGGGCAGCCTTGCAGAGACAAGATTTCTGGGGTTTTTAAATGAGGCTTCTGCCTCTGTCGCCTGCCCAGGCTTGGCTGTGGCTCCCCAACCTCTCCGGATGTGGCTTTCCTCATCTCTAAAATGAGGGCGTTGGGTTAGGTTACCCCTGCTGTTCTGTTCCCTCTGAGCAGCAGCATCTCTGTGGGTGAGCGAGAGATAGCGTTGGGTCCCAGTGAGTGACCCTTTGATTTGTCCGAAGCTTAAGGCCTCTGGAATGGGGCCTAGCTGTACCACAAGTGTGTGCAGCCATCCGGTGGTGGATAAATCCTTAACACAAACTACTCAGGAAAGACAGACAAATTCACTGTGAACGCTGGAAAGTGGTCTAGCAGATGCCTAGGGTACACTGCCATCTCAGAGCAGATTTCACCACAGTGGTGACATTAAAAATGCCACCTCCCCTGTGAGTAAAATTAGAGGGGGGTGAATGGGAGGTTACGTATTTCACAATGATGGAGATAGAAGATAACTTGGCAATCTCACATAGAAAAAAAAAAATGTAAATGATTTCCCCAGTCCAGGTAGCAAGATTCAGAACAAAAGACAGATTCAGAAGAATATCATTGCACTCAACATTTCCAGTAAAAAGCTTCCATTTTCCCACACTGATTCTGTCATTTGGTGTCCATTGAACCAGAATCCAGGGAAGCAAATCATTTTTGCCTGCAACGTGAATTGCCAAAACACTTAGCATGTGACTCCCCCCTTTGCCTGCACTGGACTCCAGATTTTGGTTCATTTCCCTTCCACACCTGCTTTGGGCTCCATCCTGAAGTCTGCCACGCTCTGCAGGCTCAGGCTCACGCCTGAGACGTTCTCTTTCCAGATCTCTCAGAGGCTCAGCGCCTTCTGGATTTGCACCTAGCTTCCGATGCCTCCCCCTCAAGGGGCTGATTCCCGAGTCTCTCTCCCCCCCATCGCTATAGGATAAATACCCTATGTTTGTGTCAGTCTGGTTCCCCTCATTTGACTGGATGCCCCTCGAGTCCAGGCCATTTTGGCACTGAATGGGCATTTGAGTCAGGAGGAGACAGGCCCTGCCCTCAGGGAGCTTCCTTCTTGTGAAGGGACTGTGCCTGGGCCCAGGAGCTGGGCTGTCAGGAAGGACTTTTCCGCAGAGGCACTGGGGCACCTGTTCTCGTCTGTCATTTATTCCTGGCTGACCTTGACTCCAGATTCATGTTCACAGCTGTTGGGGAGAGGGAACCTAGGCCCCGCCCATTCCCCCCACCCTCTGCGCTAGAGAGGTGAACGGGGGAGGCAACAGGAGGTGTGTGGCCATACTGGCATCATAATGGCCCTGGGCCTCCCCACCCAACTCAACCTTGACAGTCCATGAGAAAAGTGAGAGTTGTAGACAAGGCTGGACGTGCCAAGGGTCTCTGCATCTGTCTTTAACACGAACCCATGGTAAGAGTTTAAACGATGGCATTCTCATATCTCCATTTTTATTTCAGGGGACAAGGCCTTTGCTGAATTCCTGACAGATGAAATTAAAGAGGAGAGGAAAATCCAGAAACACAAATCCCTCCCCAAGATGTCCGGGGATTGGGAACTGGGTGTGCAAGGGACAGAAGCCAAGTTAGTCCGGAGATTAGCTGGCGAGAGGTGAGTCTGGCCTGGACTGGGAGGAAATGAAGGGTATATGCCCTGGGCACTCACTGCTGGGCCTAGGACCACAGACTGAGAGCTGGAAAGGGACCTTAGCGGTCATCAGATGGTAGAACTTGTCTAGCATCACCAAATCTCACACTCCTGAGTCACTGGAACACCCCTGTACAATGGTCCTTTCAAGGGGGTGTCTCTGAGAGGAGTTAGGGGGGAAGGTGTCCAAAGAGGGATCCTCAAAACATGCTGTCCCTCTTGGGGGTGGGAGGGAAGGGGCTGAGCATGAGAAACTAGCTATGGAAGGATGATGGGGGGGGGGGGGGCATCCCTGGAACGCAGCAGCGCTGCTTTGGCCTTCTGCTTCCATCCCTTGCAAAAACCATGTTGGGTCACGGAACACGAACTCCCTTGGCCTGGAGAGGCTGCTGGTGTGTGGAGGAGGGGATCGCAACAGATACAGGACCCACTTGGTCTCTTTTTCTGCTTCAGGATCACAGTCACATTCAATATTAACAACAGTATCCCACCAACATTTGATGACGAACCACCAGAGGGACAGAAAGCCCACGAACAGCAAGAGGTGAGTTCAGCCTGGGGCTCCAGCGGCCCCCTCCAAGAGTACATTTGGGCACTGAGCACAGGAAGGTATGGCAGCCTTTCACACCCCAGCTTCTCAGGGTGCAACAGGTTAATTCAGTTCTGGTGGGTACTGTGTGCAGATCCTCCTGAAACAGATCAATGCAGGGTAATTGAGAAAAGAGAGGGCCCCAGTCCAGCATGAGCCACCTTCCCAGGGTCCACAGTGGCCAGGAGATGGAGCATCAAGTCTGAGAAACCACAACCGAGCACAGAATGTGTAAGAAAGGGGGTCAGTCGGTCAAGCAGATTGGAGCGCCAGTTTGGAAGGCACCAGTGTCAGAGGACAGATTCATACTTGGTCCTGGAAGTACCTGGCAGGTGCTGAAGAGAAGCCGTTGGCAGGGAGTGACCCCATCAGGCCTCGGTGGGGAGGAAGCCGGGCCCTGGGCTAATAGAACCCTGGCTAACTGACTTCTCCTTGGGTCCAGCCTGAACTTACATCAACCCCAAACTTCGTGGTGGAGGTTGTGAAGGACGATACCAAGAAGGCCCTTGTGTTGGACTGCCACTATCCAGAGGACGAGGTAGATCCCAGGGGCCATTTCCCATGGGGCAGGGCCTGCTCCCCCCACCTCCTCATGGGCTCTTTGTGGAGAGGGGCAAGGCAAGGTTGGGTGGGAAATACTGAGGACAGCCTCTACCAAGCCTTCTGTAGTCACTGGGCTAGGGGCAACCACCAGCACGATGGTGGTCCTGGGCAGTGTCACCCCCGTTTTATAGTTGGGAAGGTGAGGCTCAGAGAGATCAATTCATTGGCTTCCCCAGGCCAGGCCTCATGACTCCAAACAAGGAACTCTTTCCACAGCCCCAGGCCCTTGGCTGGTACCCAGCTCGCATTCTTTTCTGAAAACTTTTTAGGTGGGACAGGAAGAAGAGGATGAGAGTGACATTTTCTCTATTCGGGAAGTTAGCTTTCAGCCCACCAGCGAATCTGACTGGAAAGATACAAACTACACGCTCAACACGGATTCCCTGGACTGGGTAGGTGCTGGGGGTCTTAGCCAGAGTGGGGTGCTTTAGTCATATCCCTTTCCCCACTCACTAAGAGCTTAGAGGAGTGCCCCACTGTCACAGCCCTCTTGCTCTGGGGACCTGTATTCCAGGGCTTAGAATGTCCTTTCGTTAGCTCTGAGCCCCCAGGCACAGAGAACAGTGGCCAAACATCTCTGAGGATGCCTAGAGTCCCACTGTAGTAGCAAAGGCCTAGAGTTAGAGTGCTAGGAACAAGAACCTTAAAGGGAGGTCCTGTGGGCCCAGACACCACTGGCCTGGCCTGCCCAGTGGGCCTCAGGGGCCACCTCTTGTGCCAGCTTTCCCCTCTGCAGGCCTGTCGTCTCCCAAGTGCTGGTGGCCCTTGTCAGGAGGCTTCACCTCTTCCTGGCTTGTCTGCCCCCCATTCTCCCTAAAGACAGGACTTTGTCTCTGCACTTCAAGTTTGAGACACCCCCTTGCCAAGTTTGGGGCTTTGCCTCTGAATTCCTTATTCTTTCATCTGGTGGCATAATTCTGCTTCCCCAGTCAGTTCCCAACAGTCCAGACCTTTAGACTTTGGCGCCCGAGAGTTTTCGACTTCCCTCTTGTCTTTCCAGTCGTTTAGCGGCTGCCCCTCACTCTTGAGTTCCTGTAGGCGATGGAAGTAAGGTTGTGTCCTTCATCCTCACTGCCTCTCGCCCTGCCCCATGTGCTGCCAGTGCCAGGTGCCCCTGGGAACCTGAGGCAGGGGTCTCTTCTCTAAGGATCCTGTGTAGAATCATCTCTCCTGGGGGCTACTTGCAGTGAGTTGGGGAGGAAGGGGGACCCAGCCCCTGCCCAGGGAGTGACAGTGAAACTCACAACCCATAGACAGATTGAGGGGACTTCAGGGGAGTAGAGCCCCATGGGGAGAACCAGCTGAAACTAAGAATGACCTGGACAAAAGTCAAGGGTCGGTGTCTGCAGGGTTGGACTCCACCTCCTTGGAGGCGTGGCCAAGCACTTTGCCCAGCCCATACAGAAGGAACCCAGTTGGCTTGTGGGAGCAGGCCACCAAAAGCTGTCTCCTTATAGGCCCTGTACGACCACTTGATGGACTTCCTGGCTGACCGAGGGGTGGACAATACATTTGCAGATGAACTGATCGAGCTCAGCACGGCCTTAGAACACCAAGAGTACATCAACTTTCTGGAAGATCTGAAGGGCTTTGTCAAGTGTCAGTAGGGGAGGCCCGAGGCTGTGAGACCTGGTTATGTAGAAGCTGTTGTGGAGAAAGCACGGTAGAATGCTGTCAGACATAAATTATGTTCCCTAACCCTTTTATTTCCTTGCTCCACTGGCGTTTTTGTACACCACCACACAATGATGAGAAATAAAACTCTTGGACCCCTCCAGCGCCCAGTGTCGGTCCTGGCTCCCCTCAGCCCCCTCCCCACGCCCAGGAAGAAATAGAATTGTCCATAGAAACATGACCCCTCACTTCAGGAGGACACCCTCCGGAGGCCGTCAAAGCACCACCATCCAAGTGTCGCACACCTGTACACAGAAGAGAACAATGTGTGGCTATGGAGGTCCAGAGTGGGACCAGGTTGGGGGGTGGGGGTGGCGGCGGCCTGGCCTGCAGGGTCACTGCCTTGTCTTGAGCAGCCTTTCTGACTAGGGCTTCTCCTCTCAGGCCTCCAATAATGAGGAAGGGGAGCTCACCACCTCACCAGACAGCCCAGCACATGAGCACCTGCCTATCTCCTGCCCCTGCTCTCAGTCTTCTCTTCTGGCTCCCGTCCTCACCATGAGTCTTCGGGAATGTAGGCTGACCCTTGTGGGGTCAGGTGGTCAAAGGGATCCTTAGGTGTGGGTTGGCCTGAAGGCCTCTGACATGGTGACACTCCCCACCCCTCCCATACACAGGCTGTTCTCTTAGACACTGAGTCACTCTAAGCTGGTGGTCCACTAACAACTCCAGCTCTTCTGCCAGGAACTGTCCTAGCCTTGTGTCCCTTCTTGGTTACATGTACGGTTTTACAGTTTCCCTTTCTGCCCACTGAAAGGCAGTCCGCTTCCTGACATGTGATGAAGAAGGATTCAGGGTCAAAGGGCAATGCATCATATCAGACAGAAGCATCCCCCAGACGGCAGCCCCACCGAGCCTCCCTCAGGAGCCAGAAGGCTCCAGTGCGCTGAATGTGTGCTAAGCCTACCACACAGCTCAGGAGAAGACAGGCATTTTCTTCTGTCCCGCTGGTGATGGAAAACTCGGGCCTATGGGCACAGAACTCACTGTGTCTGTTCACACTTTCCTCTAAGAGGGCCCGGAAGGTCTGTTCTGTCAGTTCTGGAACCTGAGGAGGAACACAGTGAAGGAAAGTAATCCCCCGCTCAGTGATTCTCCTGGAGGCCCCCTCCCTCTGAGTGGACGGCCCCTTCCAGGACCACAGCCTTGCTCCAGACACCTGTGCTCTCCCCCACCCCTCTTCCTCTTCTATTTGTCTTCTCGCATTAGAACACAGTCCTAGAAGGCAGGGGCTCTTCAGCGCTTGATACACAGTCAGCACTTAATAAATGCACTCTGACTGTAAACAGGCAATTGTACAAGGTCTAAGGGATAGCAAGACGGGACAACTCACCTGAGAGGAGAGATAGAGGCCACACTGACACAGGACCGTGCCTCTTACCACAGTCAGGTTGTACCTAAAAGCAGACCCATTCTCAGAAGCTAGTTAGAAAAACAGCCTTTGGTTTGAAATCCTTTTTTTTTTTTTTTTTTTTTTTTGGTGAGGCAATCGGGGTTAAGTGACTTGCCCAGGGTCACACAGCTAGTTAAGTATCAAGTGTCTGAGGCCAGATTTGAACTCAGGTCCTCCTGACTCCAAGGCTGGAGCTCTATGCACTGCGCCACCTAGCTGCCCCTTGGTTTGAAATCCTAACGGCTCCAATTCAAAGCTGCCCCCAAAGACTGAAGCTTTTACCTTGAACACACCGGACAGATGAGCCCATCTGTCTGCAGCCCCTCCAGCAGGGCCCAGAGGCACCTGTCATCAAACCGCAAACTCCTTTCATATTCCTCAATGAAGGCTTGTTCTGGAAGGGAAAGGAAAGGTAAGTCACTCGGGGCAAAATCAACGTTCTCTTCCCCTGGCACAGAAAAATAACAATGAGGAAACCTCCAAGTGTCCAGGGACAGGAGGAACACAACTGGGAAATCCTCGTCCCATAGCTGGGCTGCATGTGCTACAGCAAAAAGCAATGAGATGCAATGCTGGTAGGGCTGTGGAAAATCAGGCATGTTTTAAGTCATTGTGCCTGAAAGATAATCTGGCAGTATGTAGGACGCTACAAAAAGAAAGGCCCTTTTGGACCCAGTAACCCCATGGTTGGGAAATGCCTGGAGGGTCCTCTAAAGCTCAGTCGTATTTCAATAGCAACATTATATGGGACTGCAAAACAAACTAAATGTCCCCAGGAAGAGGGGCTGGTTAGATAAAATGTGCTATATTCACATAACAGACTACTGTAATGTAATTAAGACCTACAAGTAATCTGGAAAAAAATGTTTAAAAGGGGAGAAGGCAAAACCAGAAGAATAAAATACACACAAAACAAAGACCATTTAAAAGGAAAAGTGAATGAATGAAAGGACAAAGAATCCTGATAGAGACTTGAGAGGGAGGGACTGAGACATGACATTTTGTAGACTGAAATTTAAAAACACATTCAATGAGCTGTATTAGTGTTCAATATTAAATTGATTTTCTTTTAAGTTCTCTGACAGGCACTGAAGCCACCTAGTTCTTACTGTGGGACCCCAGTTCTACTCCTAGGTCATAAAGAACACAGTAGTGAAGTGTTCCTGTAATATTTCACTGGTCTAAAAAGCTAAAGGCAGTGTTTTCCCTGACCAGCCTTACAGAAAATCTGACTTTTCTGTATTTGAGTTCTTAACAAGGGAATGGCTGTTTCTATGGTAAAGAGCAGTGATCAATCAACAAGCATGTATTAAGCATGTACCATATACCAGGCCCTGTGCTAAGCTGTAAGAATATAAAAACAAAACAAAGTCCTCAAGGAACTGGCCTCTAATAGATGATAAAAGTGCATCAAATATCTTCCCTGGACAGAAAGAAGTTTTTTAAAACACCTCTCAGTAATCCGTGTTTTATAATAATTTTGTGTCCCTATGGACATCAATTCAGACACAGCTTGTCTGGTCACCACCGACTGGCAATGAACAGCAAACTGAAAGATGAAAAAGGCTCCTGACACAACAAGCAGGGCCTGGGTCAGATGAGGCCAGGAACCTTGGCCGGCAAACACTCGCTTTCCTTGCCAGACAGAGAGTCGAGTGCACTAGTAATCTGTGGTAATCCAGAATAGATGAACAGTTAGAAACAGTCCGACTTCACAAAAGAGCCCCAACAAAACCATCTCGTCCCGTGGGCATTTGGGGACGAAACAGGGAGCATGATGACAACTAGAGACATGAAGTGCAACAGGATTGGCTGTTTCCAGGACAGTTCTAACAGCGAGGAAATCAGGAGGTAGCAATAGCAGGCGAACAGATGAAGTTTGGGACAATGCCTGACTAATCCAAAGGATAAAAGAGAAATCCATCCCGAGGCAGCCATTTATGATTTACACGGTTTCTCCAAGGAGGGAAGATTCTAAAGGAATGAATATGACCATGGCGCAGCCTGAGAGACAAGTCAAGCCAAGCAACAGCACAGCATGGAGAGGCCTGTTTGGCATCTCAACCATACTGGCTCCCGTGGGGAGGGAAAAGTCACAGCAAGCCTCTTCCAGTTCCGTATTTCAGACTAGAGGGACTGTTTGCATTGGTGGAGGGGATTGTTTCCTGTACCAATGACATCAGCTTTGGTCAAAAATCAATAAATGACCGTGATATTACCAAAGACGACCAAGCCAACATCAGCACCCCTAGGCCCACGTACTTGTCCTCACCTCTACACAAACTTTAGAAGCTTCGTGTATAGAGGCATCCCAGTATGTTTGATGAAAATGAGAGAGGAGCCCTTAGCCCTTCAGAAGTGATTGTCCCCAGAAGTGACAGTAACTGACAGTCCAGACCCAAGTGTGATCCATGGGTGATTCCGTAGAAATGCCAGACGTGGTGGAGCAATCTGCAGCTGTAAGGAACAACTTCCAACAAGGTTCCAGCCCAGAAACGGTAAGATCATCCACGAATCCAAAAGATGAAACCACAGAATAGCAACAGAAGCAAGGGAGTGGGTGCTCTCCCCCGGTACATGTGCCCACTGTCATGATGTCCTATCCAAATACAGAGGCATCCCTTTGCAGACTATCATGGTGAGCAAACTGAACTCAAGCTACCAATAAGGTACATGCTTCCAAAGAGCAGGATGAACCTAGCATGCCACCCAGGAAACACCACACGCCCAAACAAGGTTATACCACTGGACCAGCCACTGCAGAGCCCACTGATACTTAAGCCACAGATGGCTACAGCTAGTGACCTAGCCTAGAACTGAGCAGGAGAATAGGCTAGATTGCTTCTGGCAAACTGAACAGAATAGAAACTCACTGAAAACCCTTATCGGGATATGGTGCTAGATGAGGGGCAAGCATTTAATTCCTATGCTCCCCCACCCCCCCCCCCAAAAAAAACCAAGCAACAACAAATCTCTTGTACCACATGTCAAACCATGTGCAAAAAAGGCACCTTCTGACATCCTGATCACTGATCCTATGAAAGTAATCTCAGCTGGCCACTGCATTCATCAGAATTCTGAGGCTTTCGAGGTTGGGTGTTCTGGTTCTGCTTCATTCACTCTGCATCAAGTCACAGAGATCTTCGGGGGCTTCTCTGACACCATTGCCTTCATCACTTTTTGCAGCCTGTTAAGACTTCATTCAATTCCACTACAGGAATTTATTCAGCCATTTGCCACTATGATCACCCCCTTAGTTCCCAGTCTGGTGCCACCACAAAAAGAGCGGCCATAAATATTGTATGTGAATGTCCTTTTTTTCTTGCTTCAGTGTCTTTGTGGTATAGGCCGGGGAGCTGCATGGACAGGTCCACAAGTAGGCCCAGCTGAGTGACTTCTGGCTGTAGTTCTCAGCCTCTCCAGGATGGCTGGGCCAGGTCACAGCTCCATCAGCACTTCATGAACAGGCCCGTTTTCTTCCAGCCTCTGCCATTTTCCTCGAGTGATCTGGAGCATTTCTTCATATGGCTGTTTGAAGTTTGAATTTCTTCTCCCAAGAATGGCTTGTTCCGACCCTTTGACCATTTATCAATTAGGGACTATGAGGAGTATCACCTTGTGAAGCAGCAGAGGGTTAGCAAGGCCATCCCACGGGTGCTCAAGGATGAAAATGTGGAACGAGAAAAGAAAGAAAACAGAAAGGAAAAGATGGAGGAAACCCTGCTTTCTCCACCCAGGGCTGCTAGCCCCTACCTAATCTTGTCTGCCTGGATGCTCCTGCAGAGGAAACAGGAGGGGCACCCAAAAGAGCAGACAAAGGCAGGACAACATCTCGGGGTCTCAGAGCAGATTCTTGCAGGAGGATCTGCACAAGTGTGAAGGTGAGCTTTAAGACGCCTAGACACAAGGTATCTGAAAGAAAGGAAGATGGCAGGAGCATGGAAAAGGTGCCAATGGAGAGTCAACTGACCCAAGGCACTGGTCAGGAGGCTTCAGCAAGTGCCGGACCACAACGGACAACGTGTGCATCTCACAAGGACCTCCCCCCAGCTTGTTCAATGGCTCTTCTCCCAAGGTGCTCCCACCCACACGTCAAGATCATTCAAGACTCTTCGGAAGAGGTGACAATGGAAATACCCTGCACCCCCCAATAATGAGGCACAAAAATGAGGAGGTGGACTCTCCCCAAAGATGCTCGTCACCATCTGGCTCAAGGAGACCAGGGATGCTCCTATTTGCTGATGGCACCGGGGTGGGGGTGGGGTTGCATGAAGCCCAAGGCATTACAGAGACTCCTGGAAGACATCTGGCATCGTTCGAAGGAGTTCAGATCTTCCATCCACACAAGGAACACCAAATGGATGAAGAATGCCTATGACCCAGATTTCAACCTGCATTTGAATGGACATCCTACATTAGCCCATCATATATATTTCTAGGACCTAGAACAAGGGGACCACGAGCTGGGCAGGGCTGGAAAGGAGGCAGAGAGCAGGCAAGACCACACTGAGACACTGCCAACCCCCTTTACAGAACAGAGCTTTTCCTACAGCAAAGAGCCATGCAAATATTTTACTGCTGCTGCTGTCCCCAGGGTGAGAATGAAAGATGAGCATCACAGAGAAGGTCAAAGGGCGCAACCAGGCTGTAACATATCACAAGGAACTCTGAAGGACATGATCACAGGAGCTTATGGGGACGTGGGAGGACAGGATGGTCAGTGCTCCTAGCAGCCAGGCCTCTGTGTGGGAGGATATGGAGGAGTCACACAGCAGGGGCACACACAGATGGCTTTGGGAGAGGCCCCAGACCCACCCTTTGAGACCCTAAAACACTGCCACAAGAGCACCAGAGCCCCCTGGTGGCCCTGAGCCAGCCTGGACAGAAAATACATACTTGGTACCAGGCACTCAGAGTATAGATACACTGAGGGTAACAAAACCTCCTCTCAAAGTGGGAGCCACATGGGCATGTGGGAGTATGAGTGTGAGAGTGTGTGAGTGTGTGTGAGTGTGTGAGAGTGTGTGTGCGTGTGTGTGTGTGTGTACTGACCCATACCCCCCCCCACCACACTCATGGACACAGTACAGGGAGACTCAGATAAATACAAGACAGTTAGGAAGAAAAGGAGAGAGCCAGGGAAGGGCACGTAGTCGGCCTGAGGGTTGTGGAGGGGAGTCTAGAACACATTGGAACTAGCAAAAGTAGCAATCCATGTGTATAAAGACCTAAGGCTTGCAAAACACTGGGTGTCTGTTCTTATCAGCGCTGATATGGGACATCACTAGATCCTCACCAGACTTCAACTCCCCTTTTATGGACTAGGAAACCGAAGGGACTTGCCTACAGTTCCCCAGCTACTATGTGTGGGGCAGGATTAGAACTCAAGCCTCCCTGGCTCTAGGCCCAGTGGTCTGGCCCACCCCCACATGTAGGAGAGTGGCAGAAAGTCTGCTCTGCTCTCAGAGGCCATGGTTTCACGGAAGATGACCTGGCCCACGTTTTTTCTTTCAAAGCTCTCTCAGGTCAGCTCCGTCTGGAGCACACTGGTGTGGGGTGGCTTCTAGCCCCAGGCTCAGTCTCCTCAGCTGTAGTCCACACTTACCGCTCTCCCACAGGCCAGCCCTGGAGCAGATCCTTGGGCATTCCCCCAAGCTCAGAGAGGGTAGGGATCTGCCCAAGACTGCCCAGCCAGGTGTGTCCTAGGACGCAGGCCTCCTGATGCTTAGGCTAGTGACCACTCAGACAAGGGGGGAGGTGCTGGTCCATGGGACGGGTCTGTGGCCAGCTTGCCCCAAGGGAGCTGGAGCGTCCAAAGCCCACCCTCCAGAGTCACCTTGACTCAGGAGCTCCTGCTGGATTTCCTCCAAGACAGCAAGGTCCTCGGGGTCCTCCACCTACAAGGGAGAGGAAGCATTTGGGTTTGGGTTCTTCTCCTCCAAAGGATCCCAAGCTGTGGCCCAGTGCACTTATGACCCCTCCAGGGCGGAGGCGAGAAGGACCTCAGGACAGCCCTTTCACAGAGTCCTGGTGCACCGGCCTTTCCCTGCAAATGCTGAAGAAATAAGAGAGGCTCCCAGGCTTTCTGGTCTCTGTCCCGAGAGTTGTCCAAATGCCCAGAAGGATGGGGGATGGTCCCTCGTACCCCTCACTCACCACCCGAGGGCACACAGACCTGTGCAAAAGTCTTGCTGCACCTCTGGGCCACCAGGCTCTCGTGGGTGGACTGCAAGGTCAGCCACTCTGCCTCCATCACCTCCTGGGCCAGGACGCCTCGGGAAGCTTCTCCCACTCGGCGATACTTGTCCAGGAGCTGGGCCCGGCTGTTTTTCATCCTCTGAAAGCATCCCTGGGAGGAGAGAGATAAGTGAGTGCAAAATACAAAAATACGAGCAACACAAAGTAGAGGCCAGACTAGTGATGCCGCAGGCCCTTTCTTGCACAAGAATCCCGAGAGCTTAGGACCAAGCTGGTAACTATGGGGGGGTGGGGGCAGAATGGCCTGACTTTAGGATGGAGAAGAGGCAGGCCTCACCTATATGAGAGGAGGCACAGGGCCTCCATTCAACATTTCCATCCTTCATGAAATAATATTTCTTTTTTTATTATTAATTTATTTTGATTTATCAACCATCACTTCCCTATGCTTTTGAGTTTTAATTTTTTCTCCCCCTTCCTCCCCATCTCCCTGCCCAAAACAGCTCACAATCTGATATAGGCTCCACATATACATTCCTATTAAACATTTTCACATTAGTGATGTTGTAAGGAAAAATTAGAATCAACAGAAGGAACCACCAGAAAGAGGAAACAACAAAACAGAAGGAAAAAAATAGTAAACAGTATGCTTTGATCTGCCTTCAGACTGTATAGTAATTTCTTTGGATGTGGATAGCATTTTCCATCATGAGACCTTTGGAGATGTCTTATATCCTTGCATTGCTGAGAAGGGCTACGTCTATCAACGTTAGTCACCACACAATGTGGCTGTTACTGTGTACAGTGTTCTCCTGGTCCTGCTCACTTCACTCAGCATCAGTCCATACAAGTCTCTCCAGGTTTTTCTGAAGTCTGCCTGCTTATCATTTCTTATAGCACAATAGTATTCCATTACATTCATATGCCACAACTTGCTCAGTCAATTGATGGGCATCCCCTCAATTTCTAATTCTTGGCCACCACAAAAAGAGCTGCTATAAATATTTTTGTACATGTGGGTCCTTTTCCCATTTGTATGATCTCTTTGGGATACAGCCCTAGAAGTGCTATTGCTGGGTCAAAGGGTATGCACATTTTTATAGCCCTTTGGGCATAGTTCCAAATTGCTCTCCAAAGTGGTTGGATCATTTCACAACTCCACCAACAATGCATTAGTGTTCCAATTTTCCCACATCTTCTCCAACATTCATCATTTTCCTGTTTTGTCAAGTTGGCCAATCTGATAGGTGTGATGTGGTACCTCAGAGTTGTTTTGATTTGCATTTCTCTAATCAATAGTGATTTAGAGCATTTTTTCATAACACTATAGATGGCTTTAATTTCTTCATCTGAGAACTGTCTGTTCATATCCTTTGACCATTTATCAATTGGAGAATGGCTTGTATTCTTATAAATTTGACTTAATTCTCAATATAAATGAGGCCCTTATCAGAGAGACTAGCTGTAAAAATTCTTTCCCAGTTTTCTACTTTCCTTCTAATCTTGGTTGCACTGGCTTTGTTTGTGCAAAAAATTTTCAATTTAATGTAATCAAAGTTATCCATTTTGCTTTTCATAATGTTTTCTATCTCCTGTTTGGTCATGAATTCTTCTGTTCTCCATAAATCTGATAGGTAAACTATTCATTGCTCTCCCAGTTTGCTTACAGTATCAGCCTTTATATCTAAATCATGAACCCATTTTGACTTTATTTTGTTTTGGGGGTTTTTTTTTGTTTTCTTATCTTTTTGGGTTTTTTTTTATTAATTTATTTTGACTTATCAATAATCACTTCCATATGCTTTTGAGTTTAAAATTTTTCTCCCCCTTCCTCCCCACCACCCTCTCCAAGACAGTGCATAATCTGATATAGGTTATAGATTTACATTCATATTAAACATATTTTCACATTAGTGATGTTGTAAGTAGAAATTAAAACCAATAGGAGGAACCATCAGAAAGAGGAAACAAAACTCAACAGGAGAGAAAAAAAAATAACAATTTGACTTCCATAGTTCTTTCTTTGGGTGTAGATAGCATTTTCCATCACAAGGCCCCTGGAGATGTCTTAGATTCTTGTATTGCCAGGAAGGGTTAAGTTTATCAATATTAGTCATCACACAACATGGCTGTTATTGTGTACAACGTTCTCTTGGTTCTGCTCACTTCACTCAGCATCAGTCCATACAAGTCTTTCCAGGTTTTTCTGAAGTCAGTCTGTTCATCATTTCTTATAGCACAATAGTATTCCATCACATTCATATACCACAACTTGCTCAGCCATTCCCCAATTGATGGGCATCCTCTCAATTTCCAATTCTTTGCCACCACAAAAAGAGCTGCCATGAATATTTTTGTACATGTAGGTCCTTTTCCCATTTGTATGATCTCTTTGGGATACAGCCCTAGAAGTGCTATTGCTGGGTCAAAGGGTATGCACATTTTTATAGCCCTTTGGGCATAGTTCCAAATTGCTCTCCAAAGTGGTTGGATCATTTCACAACTCCACCAACAATGCATTAGTGTTCCAATTTTCCCACATCTTCTCCAACATTCATCATTTTCCTGTTTTGTCAAGTTGGCCAATCTGATAGGTGTGATGTGGTACCTCAGAGTTGTTTTGATTTGCATTTCTCTAATCAACAGTGATTTAGAGCATTTTTTCATATGACTATAGACGGCTTTAATTTCTTCATCTGAGAACTGTCTGTCCATATCCTTTGACCATTTATCAACTGGAGAATGGCTTGTATTATAAATTTGACCTAATTCTCTATATATTTTAGAAATGAGGCCCTTATCAGAGAGACTAGTTGTAAAAATTCTTTCCCAGTTTCCTACCTTCCTTCTAATCTTGGTCATTGGCTTTGTTTGTGCAAAAACTTTTCAATTTAATGTAATCAAAATTATCTATTTTGCTTTTCGTAATGTTCTCTATCTCCTATTTGGTCATGAATTCTTCTGTTCTCCATAGATTTGACAGGTAAACTATTCCTTGCTCTCTCAGTTTGCTTATAGTATCAGCCTTTATATCTAAATCATGTACCCACTTTGACTTTATTTTGGTATATGGTGTGAGATTTTGGTCTATGTCTAGTTTCTGCCATACCGTTTTCCAGTTTTCCCAGCAGTTTTTTCCAAAGAGTGGGTTCTTATCCCAGAAGCTGGGGTCTTTGGTTTTATCAAATAGTAGATTACTATAGTCATTGACTACTGTGTCTTGCATTCTTAACCTATTCCGCTGATCCATCATTCTATTTCTTAGCCAGCACCAAGCAATTTTGATGATTGCTGCTTTAGAATACAATTTAAGATCTGGAATGGCTAGGCCGCCTTCCCCTGCATTTCTTTTCATTAGTTCCCTTGATATTCTGGACCTTTTGTTCTTCCAAATGAATCTTGTTATTCTTTTTTCTAACTCTATAAAATAATTTTTTGATGGTATGATTGGTATGGCACTGAATAAGTAAATTAGCTTAGGGAGAATTGTCATTTATATTACATTAGCTCAGCCTACCCATGAGCAACTGATGTTTTTCCAATTATTTAGATCTGACTTTATTTGTGTGAAAATGGTTTGGTAAGTGTGTTCATATAGTTCCTGGGTTTGTTTTCATAGGTACATTCCTAAATATTTTATACTGTATACAGTAACTTTAAATGGAATTTCTCTTTCTATCTCTTGCCGTTAGGCTTTGTTGGTAATATATAGAAATGTTGATGATTTATGTTGGTTTATTTTATAGTCTGGAACTTTGCTAAAGTTGCTTATTATTTCAAGTAGTTTTTTACTTCATTCTCTAGGATTCCCTAAGTATATCATCATATCATCTGCAAAGATGATACGGAACAATGGAAAATGGAACAATATTCACACAACATTTTTCCATTCTAGCACACTGCAATTGCTATGGTTATTTTAAAGAGCGGATCTGAGATGATTCTGTCCAAGGAAGCCATTCTAGAGAAGAACCAGAGGGACAGGACAGGGGATTCCAGAGTGGGAAAAGGGCTGAAGCAACCCTGTTATAACCGGGGAAACTGAGGGCTGGAGAGGCTTCATTGCTTTGCATTCATGTTACTGAGTTCTCGTATCTTTTAATTTTTAAAGATGGGCCTTTGTTTTGGGAAGAAGCCTCAGACATACCCTAAATTTGTGGCTAACCCCCCCCCCAGCCTCAAGGAACAAACACAACCAATATCTGACACCCTCCTGATAGCTTTGTTTCTTCTTTGCCCATGCAATAATATTTCTAAGAGTGAGTGAGACACAGGAAAAAAAAAAAAAATGTAGCCAGAGACAGAAAGTGGTTAGGAGGAGCAGCTCAAACCAGGGACTTCAAAAGTGTAATCTCATGGAGTTTACAGAGAGAATAAAGATGGAATATCTTTAGAAAATTAGGAAATAAAATTCAGAATAGATTTAGATTGGAAGGGAAGAGAAATGACGAGAAAGAAACAAAGGAAAACTCCTAGAAAAGAGGCTATTTGCTTAAGAGGGCAGAGAAAGAGACTGCCCCGAGACAGTGGATAAGTAGAAAACTAAACCCATTTAGTTAACAATTTAATTACATCCAAAGAAATAAGGCAAAGAAGCAGCAGAGAAGGGGGATAAATTCTGAGCACGGACAAGTATCCAAGTAGGACAACCAAAACTAACTGTCAGGGTCAACAACCCTGAAAAGGGGGGAAAAAGGAATGCAAACGAAATAAATGAAGAGAAGGGCTATTGGAGAACCCCACGTGTCTAGTACATAACTTCATAATCTACATTAGTGGCTAGAGGGAAAGCAGACTCCTAAGCATTACAGCTGTGGCTCTTGTCTGCTGTCCCTGGACATACACTGAAGGTGCACAGGAGGAAGGCAAATGACACAGCCAAGGCGACCCAAAATGGAACAATATTCACACAACATGTTTGTATTCCAGCACACAGCAATTGCTATGGTTATTTTAAAGAGTGGATCTGAGATGATTCTGTCCAAGGAAGCCATTCTAGAGAAGAACCAGAGGGACAGGACAGGGGATTCCAGAGTGGGAAAAGGGCTGAAGCAACCCTGTTATAACCGGGGAAACTGAGGGCTGGAGAGGCTTCATTGCTTTGCATTCATGTTACTGAGTTCTGGTATCTTTTAGTTTTTAAAGATGGGCCTTTGTTTCGGGAAGAAGCCTCAGACATACCCTAAATTCGTGGCTAAGCCCCCGCCTCCCCCAGCCTCAAGAAACAAACACAACCAATATCTGACGCCCTCCTGCCTGGGTAGTTTTGTCTACCACCTACCCACTACCCACAGTTAGTCTGGAAGAGGAGCCGAGCTTGGGCCTCACATGTATTCCGGGCCAGGGCTCATCCAGGCCGTTCCCAAGTGCTTTCCCAAAGGCTTAGACCCGAGCACAGCTCCACCAACAATGCACAGGTGCAGCAGGCGGCGAGAGGCGGTGCCCAGGAAAGTGGGCGGGGCCTAGAGGCCAGGCCAAGGCAGGGTCGGCGGCAGGAGGGGGGATGCCCGCGGGGCATGGCGGGAGGGGCGACGCTCCCCGACTTAGACCGCGCTCACCTGCCGGTACGTCTCCTTCCAGGCCGGGCCCCCAGGGCGCTTGTGAAGTGCGCGTCGTCCCTGCCCCGCTGCTCCCGCCTCCATGATGTCCGATGCCCCAGAGATGCCCGGCTCCCAAGCGAGGCCGCTACTTCCGCCCCCACCGCGCTGCATACTGGGAACGGAGTCCTGCCACGGCCTGCGCATGCGTGAACGCTTCCGGCGCATGATAGCAACAGTGGTCCGCAACCTTCTCGCTCTTTTGGGTGCCTCTCCCTCGGAACCCCGTCCGGAGAGCCACTGAGACGCGGGGCGCGAAGGCGTCCTTCCCGAGCAGGGCTCTGCCTGTCCTGGCTTCACAAGCCCCAAAAGGCAATATCGACAGGATCCAACGAAAACGATCTGGGGGCCTTTCTGCAGGCTTTGCCCCCGGGCTTCAGTTTGCCTATGGGTATAAAGGGTCTTTTAGGCCTAGAGGTGGAGCGGCCTCAATAAAGTGACAACCCTGACATGGGAGGCGAGGGGTCGTTTCCCAGAGGGGCCGTTTCCAAGAGGGGCCAGCCTCAGGGTCCACGCCGTCCATCGCGAGGGCCAGCAGGTCAGAGTTCACAGGCCCAGATGCCGATTAAGCCAGTGACCCCCCCGCCCTTGGTAACCTCGGGTTCGGATTGGGCAGAATAATGGAGGTCACTGATTGGTCGCAGAGGAGGGAGCGCCGATTGGACGGGCACGCGAATGGGTGTTCATGGGCTGGAGCAGAGGCTGAGGGGCATTGATTGGACAGCAAAAGGGGGGCGGGACCCAGGCGGGCGGCGCAGGGAAAGATGGCGGCGGCCGAGGAGGCCGGAGGTGACGGTGAGCAGTGGCGATTGTGGCTGCCCCAGCACGTTGTGTTCGTGCGGCTACGCGAGGGCCTGCGGGCCCTGAGCCCTCCTGCGCCGGGCACCGAGCAGCCAAGCCCGCCCAGCCTCACCCGGAACCTTCTCTTCGGGCTCGGCGCCGAGCTCTTCCTGTGGGACGGGGCGGCCGGCGCTTTCTTGGCAGTGCGCCTGCGCGGCCCAGGCCCCGCCCCTGGCGACGGGAGCGGGGGTGGTGGGAGCGAAAGCGACTGTGGAGACGGAGGTGGCGAAGGCCCCACCCTAAGCCGCTATCAGGTAACGGCTGTGCCGGATTGCGCCTGCGCGGGGGCGTGGCAGGCTGGGCTAGTTGCTAGGCGCTAGTGGGAACGAGGCTGTTACTAGGGCTGGAGCACACCCGGTTCCGGAAGTGTCTTGGGCTGCGAGAGATGAATGAAAAGCCTTCATTGGAGCCATTCTTTTTTAGTGTTGTTGTTCAGTCGTGTTGGACTCCGTCACCCCTTTTGAAGTTTTCTGGGCAAAGATATTCGAGTGGTTTGCCATTGCCTTCTCCAACTCATTTTACAGATGAGGAAACTGAGGCAAAGAGGGTGAATTAAGTGATTTGCCCAGGGTCCCCAAGCTAGTAGGTGTCTGAAGTCTGATTTGAACTCAGGTCTTCCTGCCTCTGGCCCAGTGCTCTATACACTGCACCATTCTTTAGTATACAGGCAAATAAAAGTTGATGCCCAGGAAACCACCCTGAGAGCCCCTGGTCTGGACCAGCGCTTATCTAGTGCCTCTTGTGTGCCAGACCTGACCCAGCAGCAAGATCGAGGTCAAGTGGTAAGTGTTGGAGGCTGTCTCCTGGCCTTGAAGGCATCTTAGAGTATGTTGACCTGCTCCATCCAGGTACAAGGGTCGAGTTGATGGTGGTTCAGGGTTCCCGAGCTGGGGTGATGGGGAGGGGCATGAAGTGAAACATTCCTGAAGCATCTTGAAATAGTGATTGGGCTCCTGGGTGGAAGTTCCTCTGGTGCTTAGCTTATAAATGCTTTTTGACTGACTGACCCTTGGTTGTAGTTTCTGGCTAGAGTGATGGAATGAAGACCCTTCATTAAGGCCCCTGCCATTTCTAAAGCTGTGACCCTCTGGTTCTTCAAGTCCATTAGAGTTCCAGAAAGTTCCTTGAGCTTTGAAGAGGTTAACGGAGGGGCAGGTTCTCTAATCGGGTAGGATTTGGACCCAGGTCTTCTGGACTCCAGCACTCTTCTTTACTATGTCATTGCCTTTAAACATTTCATTAGCTCACACCTATCAGATTGGCTAAGATGACATAAAATGAAAATGACAATTGCTGGAAGGGATGTGGAAAAATAGGAACGCTAATACACTGTTGGTAGAGTTGTGAGGTGATCCATCCATTCTGGTGAACAATTCAGACCTATGTCCACAGGGCTTGTAAAACTGTGCATACCCTTTGACCCAGCAATACTGCTGCTAAGTCTGTATCCAAAGAGATCAAAGAAAAGGACAAGGGTCCATAGGTACAAAAATATTTATAACAGCTCTTTTTTGTGGTGCTAAAGAATTGGAAACTGGGAGGATGGCTGAGTAAGTTGTGGTATATGCTTGTGATGAAATACTCTTGTGTTGTAAGAAATAACAAAAGGGGGTAGTCTTATGAACTGATGCAGAGTGAGGTGAGCAAAACCAGAACATTGTACACAGTAAAAGCAATGTTGTATGATGCTTAATACAATGATTCAAAAAAATCTGACTCAGGATGAAACGTGCTATCTGCTTTGTGAAGGGGCTCCCTGAACTTGCTTTCTTGAGTTGTCCTGTTTTCCAGAGTGAAGTCCCTGTAAACTAACACCAGTGAGTTATGTGCAACTGAACTCTATTAAATTTTCGATGATCTTGAAAGCTGAGTCAGCTATAAGCCTGGCTCTGGCCAGTCTAGCCCAGACTCATAACCTGTTTGTGCAGATAAGCAGAACATTGTCCCTCTATCCCCCTCCCCTACTGCTCCCTTCCTCCTCCCACACCATTCCCATTTGGGAGGGGATTGTCCTCCACTCTTCCCATGAGACCTCCCCTTTTTGTTGTACCTATATATGTTCCAGGCTCTGGCTATAGGGCAGGCTTCTTGGCATAAGAAGTTCACACGTGTGTCCTGTCTCTTGTAATAAATCAAGTTACTACCCTGTTTTGTGGAGTTGTCAGAAAGAACTGATGGAATCTGAATGTAGATTGAAGCATCATGTTTTTACTTTATTTTCCTTGCTTTTTTGCAACATGGCAGCTATGGAAATGTTTTGCATGATTTCACTTGTATAATTGATGTCACATTTCTTGCCTTCACAATGGAGGGGAGGGGAGAGAATTTGGAACTGAGTTGTTTTTTTTTAAAGTGAATGCTAAAAATAAATAAAATGTTAAAAAAAAAAAGCCCATTGCCATAGGGTCTTCGATTTAGAGTTTTGGAGGCCACCTTCTGTCCCCACACTCTGTCGAGGATCGTGAAGCACAGAGGAGGTCACAAGGTGGAATTGAATCTAGTTCTTCCTGAGGCTCATCTTTGCACAGTCATGATGGCTGTAGTGTTTGTTTTGTTGCTTTTCCTCCTAAATCATATTTCTTTCCCTCACATAGATGAATCAGAATCCATTGCAAATGCCCAGTTAATTATAGACTTGACTCCTATGTGTAATTGAAGAGAAGCCTTCTTGCCTGCTGGCCTGCCACAGGAAGCTCGCTCTCTTCTCGCCATGACCAGGAGTTGAGGAGAAGATGAGAGAAGGCAGGTGGAGGCTGCAGGAGAAGAGGGAGAGCACAGAGAACAGAGAACACTGGCCTGGCCAGGCCTGCAGGAGGGGGTTTGCCCTCGGTGTCCTGCATGGGCAGGAGGCACTAACTTCATTGCCTTCTGTTGACTAATAAATGGGAGAAGGGGATTTCCTTTGCAAATGGTTAAAACCAGAGAATTTATTAGGTTAGCTTCACAGCGTTCCAGTTATCTAGGGCAGTACTGTGTGGACTTTTTCCCCTTTCCAAATAACTAACATTTTTCCCATCAACATTAATTCCAACTTGCTTTAATTTCCAGAGATTGCTTTGTATAAATCCTCCCCTGTTCGAAGTCTACCAAGTCCTGTTGAGCCCGACTCACCATCATGTGGCACTCATTGGCACCAGGGGACTCACTGTCTTAGAGCTTCCAAAACGATGGGGGAAGAATTCTGAATTTGAAGGCGGGAAATCAACAGTGAACTGTAGGTAAGTTGGATGTGCCTCAGGCCTTGGTCTGGGTGTGTGCATACACGTGTGGTAAGGCAGGGGCTATTTTGTTTATTGTGGGAAAGTTCTTGTTTGTGTTTCTGACACAATTGGTGATTTAATCACAGCAAATGTCTTGTCTTTGAGACCTATCAAAAGCAGAGTTATCTGACCCATTACTTTGGGAGTTTGATTTTCCCCCCTAACAGTGGTGAACAGATTGAGGTCATTTGCCCCAGAAAAGGAATCTGTACATAAAAAGTTGACAAACTCTGGGCTTATTGTAGAATTAAGAAGTTGTAGGGATCCAATGTTTGGAATCCAAGTTTACTAAAAGCACCAGAAAAAATGAAGTCGGTGATGCTTCCTGTCTTGTAGCACAACCCCTATTGCCGAGAGGTTCTTCAACAGCTCCCCCTCCCTGAGCCTGAAGCACGCTGCCTGGTACCCGAGTGAAGTGCTCGACCCCCACGTGGTAATGCTGACATCAGACAACGTGATACGGTAGGGATCGGTCCTGCTGAAAGATGCTGCTTTTGGGCTCTCCTCAAGACCCAGCTATAGAGGGAAGGGAAGGGGTCAGTGGATAGGGGGCATGATAGAATTCATTGTCACTGAGCCCTCCCAGGAACCTGGAAGATGAGAAGGGGGTTGGTTGTGTCCATTTAGTTTCCACCAGTACCTCCCTCTCACCAAACAACGAAATGATGTTCCTTGTTGTTGCCTTTGGACACAGGATAAGGCCAACCAACTCCTCCCTTTGCCTCTCCAAAGCTTACCTATGAGCTGTCCTTCCCCTAACCCTCACCCTCATCCTCCTTTGTCTCTGGGTTTCACTGGTAGTGAGAGAGTCAACATTGTGAAGTTGGATTCCTTCTTCAGTGTGAGCCCTCATAGAACTGGCTGAATGGTCAGACTTGAAGGGACATGCATGGTCTCATGTTCCTGTGGAAGGAGACTGGAAGCTGTTGAAGCAGTGCTTGGGATCCAGCCCTGGATGGTCCATCCAAAGCTGGGAGGGTGAACCTTTCAGAGACTGGGTGGTGGCTTACAGATGGCCTTAAAATTGCTCCTGCCCTGCAGAAGTAGAAGAGCATAGGCCACCTGTGGATTTTGGACCATGGTATTCAAAATTTTTCCAGCCTAGTAGAATCTTCAGGAGCTCGTGTTTGACTAGCAGGGCCTTTGCGAGCCAGCATCATCTGCAGGCCACAGGGAGGCTTGGAGAAAGGCTTTGTGGAACTTGAAGGCCATTGACATCTCCAGATCTTTGTTAGAGGAATTAATGTATAGCCAAACTTTATTTCTATCAACTTTCCTTGTGTTTGGGTTCACCCAAAGTTTTAACTTGTTTTCCAGTGTGAAACAGTTCTCTTCCTACCTTTGAATCATCTGCAAGTCATAAAAGCATTCCATCCATTCCTTTACCCAAATCAGTGGTAAAAATGTTAAAACAACACAGCCCTGAGCATAGAGCCCTGGAGCACTCCACTGGAGACTTCCTTCCAAGTTGACATTGTGCTGTTATTTCTTTAGAGACTGCACTTTCCAAAGTAGTCAGTGATCTCTTAGTCACCAAATCCAATGGGCTTTTTTCAGTCCTCATTCTCCTTGACCCCTCTGTAGCCTTGGATGCTGTCATTGACCACTCTTTCTCCTCCTTGATACTTTCTTCTCTAGGTCTTCAGGACATTCTCTGCTGGTTCTCATCCTCCTCCTCTGACCACTCCTTCTCTGTCTCCTTTACTGGATCTTCCTCCAGATCATGCCTTTCAGCCCTCTTCCCTTTCTATCCTACTTCACTAGATGATCTCACCAGCTCCCACAGACTTAATCACCATCTCTATGCTGATGATTTTCAAATCTGTTTTCTGCCCCAGATTCTCTGCTGATCTCCAATCACATCTCCAGATGCCTCTCAGACATATCAAACTGGATATCCAATAGACATCTTTACCTCACCATGTCCAAAATGGAACTCGTCCTCATTCCCCCTAAATCTTCTCCCCTCCTACCTTCCCTAATACTGTCCAGGGAACTCCCCATCCTCTCAGTCCCCCAGGCTCACAACCTTAGGAATCATCCTGTATTCCTTTCTCTCACCTTCTCCCTCTCATATCCAGTATGGTGCCAAGGCCTGTCCATTTCACCTCTGCAGCATCTCTTAAGCATCTCTGGTCCATTTCAAACCTCCCCTCTTTGCACCATGGGGGTCAGCCTACCTTTACTCTATTGACTCCCTGTCTCCTCCAGGATCAAATACAAAATCCTTTGGTTTTCAAAGCCCTTCATAACTTGACCCTTTCCTCCCTTTCCAATCTTCTTATACTTTACTCCTTAACACACACTCTTTGATCCAGTGGCACTGGCCTTCTGGCTCTTTTTCCATCTCTCTCACTGGCTCTCCCCATGCCTGGAATTGTTTCTTATCTCTGCGTCCTGAATTCCATCAAGTCTTGGCTACAATCCCATTTTCTACAAACAGACATAAATAGAAAGGGGACAATCAGCTCAGACCCAGAAGCATCTTAAACTTGGCATGCCCCAAAAAACTAAGCTTTCCCCCCACATGCTCCCTCCTCCCTGCTTTCCCTGTTACTGTTGAGGGCCCCGCTGTGTTCCCACTCCTCCAGGCTCACAACTGTGGTGTCATCCTCAAGCTTCCTTACCCATCCTTTGTCAGATTTTGCTGTTTCTTCCTTCGTGGCATCGACATTTTTTTCACTCAAACTGCCACCTTCCGAGGTCAGTCCTTTATCACCTCTCACTGGACTGTTGTAGGAGCCTTCTAATGATTCTCCCTCCCTCCAGTCTCTCCCCTCTTCTCTCAATCCTCTATTCATTTGCCAAAATGATTTTCCTTAGGGCTAGAGTCACTCTGATCTTGTCAGCTCCCACACTTCACTAGGGTTGGAGGGGTGGGAGTGTAAGGAAGGCCATGATCACCCAGGGACATGAGAAACCATGATTAAGCTTGGGAGGGTTGAAATATGCAGGACCAGGGAAACACAAGGACCCAAGGATAATTAGAACTTAAACATAAAGAATAGACTGGACCTTGAGTGTTCAGTGGTGATTGAGCTTGGCTTAGGAGGAGGGATCCTCCCCTACTTTGCCAAGGTGGATGATTATGGGCAAGGAACGTTGTATGCCCTGAACTCCTCCTTTTCTTTCTTTTTATTCTTTGTCACAAAGGTTGATGGGGGAGGGGAAAATATATTTGGAACTGAAGGTAGTGAAAAAAATAGAAGCTATCAATAGAATTTTTGTAAAATTAAGTTTCGCTGTGAAAGGCAGGAGGCTCATTTTGAAGAGTAGGAGAGATAAGAATTTTAAATTTTTTTAAACGGCTTGGGCAGGCCTGAGCCTGTTTTTAGGGGGTGGAGGAGACCATAGGAGAGGAAGTGAAATGGATGGAGAGAAGGGACCTCTAGGAGCCAGTCTTTTGGGGATCATGTTGTTTGTCCAAAGTCCTGGTCCTCGAGGTATGGGCAAGTGGCCCTGTCAGTGAAGGGCATAGAAGGGAGGTTTCTCCCCCCTCCTCCCAGTCTTTCCAGCCCTTCCTGCACAGACCACACCAGCCCCAAGGGTTGGTGCTAGGACCAGTGCTGGACAGAAGACTGGGGAGGAGGCGAGAGTGGAAGATGTTGGGAGATGGTGAGTGCAGAGGATCTCGTGTTATCATGTCACATGCTTGTGTTCCAGGATCTATTGTCTTCGGGAGCCCCAGATCCCAGTGAAGGTGATCCCCCTTTCTGATGCCGAGGAGGAAAGCTTGATCCTCAACAAAGGGTGAGTCTGAGGGGTGGGGCAGGGCATCTATTAGGGCACCATCCACGAATGCCACATCATAAGGTCTCTAGGGCAGGGCCGAGGAAAGGAGCCAATTGGCTGCCTGCCCAGGCTGATCCTTATCTTCTGGGTAGGACCCTGAGGGGCCCCACAGGTCTGACATCTGACTGGAGTGTGGCAGGCTCATATCAGGTCCTCCCCCCACACACACACACACAGGACAACTAGTGATCCTGGGGCTGTCTAGGGCAGAGGTGGGGAACCTGCAGCCTCTTAAGTCCTGGAGTGCGCCCCTTTGACTGAAACCAAACTTCACTGAACAAATCCCCCTCATACAAGGGTTTATTCTGTCAAACTTGGACTCGCTGCGGGTCCCCCCCGCCCCAGTCTGGGGGCTCAGGGTCAAGCAACAAAGACTTGAGGTGTTACTGAGTGAGCTTCCCTGGCTGCAGGGAGAGCTGGGCAGCCCTTCTGAGCTTGTGGGGCATCGGAATGCTTTAGGGGCCTCCCATACCATCCTTTAAGAGACTGTCTTTGAGTCGCTGCGGCCAGGCTGGTGGCGATGGTCTGTGCACGGAGATGTCTGTCGCTGGCCCCATTATGGGAGCTTTCCCAGCATGGCTGGCCTGCACAGCCTGATCTTGGCTGACCACTGTCCGGTCTGAGTGGACACTCATGGTTGGAATTTTCAAGCAGGGTGTGAGATCAAATGAGATAATGCTTCTGAAAAGAACGGTCAGCACACAGTGCCTGGCACATCCCTTTCCCCTTCTTCTAGACTCTGAGGGTGGCCCCTTAGAGTCTGCCTCAGCCCTGCCCCCATTTTACAGAGGAGGAAACTGAGGCCTGGTTCTTCTGACTCCACCTCTGGCTCCCTTTTTGTTGAATCCGTGCAGACTCTCGCCTCTCACTTAGGACTGAGGGACCTTGAATGTGCGGATCCTGGTGTGGTGAAGGTAAATTCTGTTGTGGAAGCGCACCAGTGCTTTTGGCTTTGTTTGCCTAAGTTCATCTGGAGTTATTTGGTGTTGGCAGGTTTTCCTTTGATCAGTTTTTGTTTTGATGTGGATGGTTATGACACTTAGATAAGAAACGCCAGCCTCAGGACATCTGACCTTGAAAAGTGAGGCAGGATCCTAGCAAGGCTGGGGCAGAGGTAGAGTGTGGCAAGAGCACCTGACCCCTTGCTTACCTTTTTGGGAACTGCTTAACCTGTGTTGAGTATTTGGGGATGTTTTTATAAATTTCATTAAGTTATCAAAAGCGATTGTAATACAGCGACTGTCCTGAGGCCACATCTAGGTCTTTGAGTTCAGCCTTTTGACAGAGTCCAAGTTTTACAGAATAAATCCTTTTATTAAGGGGATTTGTTCTGTGCAGTTTGGAGTCAGTCAGAGGGCCACAGATTCCTCACCCTGGCTGTGGCTCTGAGCAGCAGAATCACGTCAGGGCCCCTCCTCAGCCCTCTGCGATCTGGCTTTCTTCCTCAGGACACTGTTTCATGATTTCTTGGCTGTTTTCCAACATTTTGTCAGCACTTCCCAGTCTGACTGATGCTGCTCTCTCTCTGCATGGCCAGATCCCATGGCATTCACTCAGCCTTCACCCTTGCCCTCTCTGTGACCTTTGGCTGTGGCCCGTGCCCTCGTGGACCCACGCACGTTCCTGGGTCTTGGGAGTGATTTTCCTTTAGCACAGCCCAGCTGTGTCACTGCCATACTCAGTCGTGGCTCTGCATAGTGCCTCGCACGTGGTAGCTTGGCATGTAGCTGAGTGACAGCGAGTTCATGTTGTCTTCAGGATAAAATACAAATTCCTGTTGGACTTCGTTTTGTTCATATATTGTTGCCTTTCTTGCCCACTGTCGTCCGACTGAACTGACCTTTTCTCTGTTCCTCCACGCTTCTCCTTCATCTTTGTCTTTGCATTGGCTGTCCCCCATGCCTGGCTTTCCTTCTCTAATACGTGAAGGTCTTTCTGCTGGCTGCTTGCAGAATTGGTTTGTCATTGGAGTTATTCAATCTAACTGCTGTTTTAGAGTTTGCCATGTGCATGTAGGGTTTTAGCCTGAAGTTGAAGTGTAGATTTTTCCCTTTGTGGTGCATTTTCTGTATTCAGAAGTTCTGGGTTGTTCTCTTGTGTCACTGGTTTATCTGTTCTTCGGGGAGTTGTCTCATCCTCTCGGTCAGGCTGTGCCTTTGGCTTGTGTAGAGATCTCTTCCAGATTTGTTTTCAGAATCTCTTAGTCTCTCATTTCTTTTTTTTTTTTAGTTGTAGTTTTCAACATTCACTTCCATAAGATTTTGAGTTATAAATTTTTCTCCCCGTCCTTCTCCCCCCTCCCCAAGATGGCATGCAGTCTGATATAGGCTCTACTTATTTGTTCGTATTAAACATGTTTTCACATTAGTCATGATGTAAAGAAGAATTAGAACTAATGGGAGGAACCACGAGAAAGAAGAAACAAAGCAAAGCAACAAAGGAAAAGGAGAGCAAATAGTCTGCTTCCACCTGCATTCAGAGTCTATAGTTCCTTCTCTGGGTGTGGACAGCATTTTCCATCATGAGTATTTTGGAGTTGAGAAGAGCGAAGTCCATCAAAGTTAGTCATTGTACAATGTGGCTGTTGCTATGTACAAAGTTCTCCTGGTTCTGCTCATTTCACTCTGCATCAGTTCATAGAAGTCTTACCAGGTTTCCCTGAAGTCTGCCTGCTCATCTTTTTTTTTTAAAAACATTTATTGATTTACTTATTTCTAGTTTTCAACATTCACTTTCACAAGATTTTGAGTTTCAGATTTTCTCCCCACCTCATACCTTCTCCCACCCCAAGATGGCGTGCATTGTAAATACCCCTTCCCCTAATCTGCCCTCCCTTCTATCTTCTCCCCACACTTCTCTTATCCCCTTCCCCTTTTATTTTCTTGTAGGGCAGGGTAGATTTCTGTACCACATCGCCTGTATATCTTATTTCCCAGTTGCATGTGAAAACAATTTTTAACATTTGTTTTTAAATTTTCTCCCTCCGTTCCCACCCGTCCTCACTGAGATGGCAAACAACTCGATACAGGTTATACATATGTAGTCATGCAAAACACTTGCATAGTAGTCATGTTGTAAAAAGACTAAGTATATTTCCCTTCATCCTATCCCGCCCCACATTTGTTCCATTCTCTCTTTTGACCCTGTCCCTCCTCAGAAGTATTTGCTTCTGATTACCCCACCCCCAGTCAGCCCTCCCTTCTGTCATTCCCCAGCTCTCTTATCCCCTTCCCCTCTATTTTTCTGTAGGCTAAGATAGATTTCCATACTCAATTGAGTGTGTATGTTATTTCCTCCTTAAGCCAAATCTGATGAGAATAAGATTCACTCATTCCCTCTTACTTTCCCCTATTTCCTCTCCCTTTCTCCTTCTCCCAGTATAATCCTCTCACCCCTTAATTTTATTTTTTAGATATCACCCCTTCATCTTCAACTCACCCTGTGCCCTCTGTCTATCTATATATACGTATAATTTTTTTCCTTCCAACTACCCTAATACTGACAAAGGTCTTAGAAGTTAACAAATACCATCTTTCCATGTAGGATTGTAAACAGTTCAACTTTAATAAGTCCCTTGTGATTTCTCTTTCCTGTTTGTCTTTTCATGCTTCTCTTGAGTCTTGTATTTGAAAGTCAAATTTTCTATTCAGCTCTGGTCTTTTCATCAAGAATGCTTGAAAGTCCTCTATTTCACTGAATGTGTATTTTTTCTTCTGAAGGATTATACTCAGTTTTGCTGGGTAGGTGATTCTTAACTATAATCCTGGTCTCCTTTGACCTCCAGAATATCCTATTCGAAGCCCACCAGTCCTTTAATGTAGAAGCTGCTAAATCTGATGTTATCCTGATTGTGTTTCCACAATACTTTTGTTTCTTTCTGGCTAATTACAACATTTTCTCCTTGACCTTGGAACTCTGGAATTTGGCTACAATAATCCTAAGAGTTTTCTTTTGGGGATCTCTTTCAGGAGGTGATTGGTGGATTCTTTCAATTTCTGTTTCACCCTCTGGTTCTAGAATATCAGGGCAGTTTTTCTTGAAAGATGATGTCTAGGCTCTTTTTTTGATCATGGCTTTCAGATAGCCCAATAATTTTTAAATTGTCTCTCCTGGATCTATTTTCCAGGTCAGTTGTTTTGTCAATGAGATATTTCACATTGTCTTCTATTTTTTCATTCTTTTGGTTTTGTTTTACAATGTCTCGATTTCTCATGAAGTCACAGGATTCTGTGTTTCTCGTGTCATTTCCTCTGCCCTGTAAGTTGTTAAAGTGTAATTTTTGTGTTCACTCTGAGGGTTGGACTTTGGCTTCATCCTTCCTTCCTTCTCTGTTCTTGCTGCTTATACTCTGGGTTTTTATTGAATTTTCTTCCTCTAGAAATGTGTCGTGTTTCAGACCTTTTTCCTTATATTCAATCAATCAGCATTCAATAAATGCCTATCATGTGCTGTGCACAAGAGTGTCCCTGCCCCCAGTGTGCTTTCAGTCCAGTGGGGGAGACAGTAGACAAACAGATATATACCAATGGATAACTAGGAGATGATTAACAGAGAAACAGGCATTGGAATTAAGGAGGGTTGCAATGGGCTTCCTGCAGGCGGTGAGACTTTAGCTGGGATCCCACTTAAAGGTCAGAGTGGAGCCAGGGACAGCCAGAGAGGATGCCCAGGGCTTTGTGGCTCCCCCCTCCTTTTGGGGGTGGGTCCCCCCTTGAGTGTTTTGTTGGCGGCTCCAGTGGGGTTCCAGTCCCCTTTCCTTTAGGCCCAGTGCAGCCACCCATGCTGGCCCCTCACCCCAGCACTTTCCCTTCTCTAGCAGAGCCAAAATGTTACCAGGGAGCTTATGGCCACTCTCTCATTGGACTATTCCAATAGCCTTAGAATTGGTTTCCTTCTGCTTTCTTCGCCCTCCAGGTCACTCCCCTCCTCAGTAAACCCCACTGGCTCCCTGCTGCCCTTTACGAGTTGGCCCCAACCTTTCCTTCCCCTCATTGTCAAGTCTGGTTCTGCATCGCTCATCTCTGCCCTTACACACAGCTTCCCTCCATGGCCTCCACCCCAGAAAAAAAGAGCCCACCCTTATTTTGTCTCTGCCCTGCCTCCTGCTTAGACTATCTGCTCCCCAAGGGCAGGGGCCATTCTGTCTGTGCCCGCTACCTAGCGAGCACCACGTCTGGCAGTCTTTGAGTCCATCAGCACCAGCCGTAGGGACTCATCTGCCGACTGGTGGCGGGAGAGACTCCTCTGAGACACTCTCTCTCTTATTTGGTCTGCTTTATAGGAGGGCGTACACAGCATCCCTTGGAGAGACGGCCGTCGCGTTTGACTTTGGGCCTCTGACAACAGTGCCCAAAAACATCTTTGGGCAGCGAGGCCAAGAAGAGGTGCTGGCCTACCCCCTGTACATCCTGTATGAGAATGGGGAGACCTTCCTTACGTATGTGAGTCTGATGCAAAGGTGAGCCACACTGGCCTCCCACATGGGACACAAGGGGCCTGGTTAACCAGTGACTGTTATCTGAAAGAGGTGGGGGTGGGGTGGTGGACCACAAGCTCCAGATGAGCCTTTGCCCTGGGGCTCCCTCGAGGGGGGCGCAGATTGCAGGAATGAGGAGCTGTTGGGTTTGTGGCTTAGGACATTGAAATTCTGGAGAGCACCCAGAGGAGGCAGCCAGGATGGAGAGGGGCTGGATGGGTGCAAGAAACTGGATGAGGGTGGTTAAGGGATCGATCATCCAGGGTTTGAAGCCCTGCCCAGCAACAGAAGGTCTAGACGGGAACAGGGGGGGATGTCAGGAGCCCTTCCACACCAAAGAGCTGGCCTATAGTGGAAGGAAGGAGCTGCCTGGGCTGCAGGCTGGGTGTCTGCTCGCTCGTTATCTCGGCACTCGGATCCTGCTACCCCAAGGCTGGGGAGCCAGTGAGGGCCCTGGAGCGCTTAGTCTTCAACTTTGGCGGGGTAGTGCTCGTGGAAAATGGCACAAAAGTCAAAGACGTGGCTGTTGATACACTAAAGCTGTAGGAAACGGGGAGTTAGGTTCCCACGACTGCTGGAAATACACTTTTCTACTCGGATTCTTTGTGTCCTAACCTGAATTCTGATACCATGCGCTTTCCCTAACCCAGTAACCATGCAGTAACTATTCCTCCAGTGCTGGGGAGGGGCGGGGTGTCAGAAGAACCTCAGGTAGGAAGGGGAAAGGGCACCTGCCATCTCTAGTCTCCCGCCTCTGGGTGAGTGCCAGCCTTGCATGCCGCAGGAGCCGCCCCCACCCACTTACCCCCAAACTTCACGGCTTTTCCTCTTTTACCTCCCCCATCGCACACTGGAGAGGCAACTCGAACCCTTCCTGGGGCGGGTTCACAAACACTTGTACCACTGCTTTCCTCCTTTTGTGGATCGTTTCCCTACTGCGCGCGTGGCTGCCAACGCAGAGTGAGAATGAGGTGATGAGTAAAATGGCACAAGTGCAGGAGGGCATGAATGTTGAGGATTGATTCACTGGATGGAAAAGGGAATCCTGGTCCTTCCAGCCTATGGACATGGCTTCTCTGGGCAGAATGTGCACTCTTTGGGGGCAGGGATTTTGGTCCCCCTGCCTGGCACGCAGTAGGTGTTTGTTCAGGCCTTGCTCATTGGGAGCAGGGAAGTAGATAGCTAGCTTCTTGACGGAAAGGAGAGGTTGTTATGGAGGAAAAAGCTGCTGGCTGGTGGCCTCAGCAAACTGCACTCTCAATGTGACAGCTGTAAGAAATGACAATTCACTGTTGGTGGAGTTGTGAACTGATCCAACTCTTCTGGAGAGGAGTTTGGAACCACGCCCATGTGCATACCTTTTGACCCAGCAACACCACTGCTAGATCTGTATCCCACAGAGATCAAAGGAAAAGGACCCACACGAAAAAAAATACTTACAGCCGCTCTTTTTGTATGGCCAAGAATTGGGAATTGAGGGGATGCCCATCCATTGGGGAATGGCTGAACAAGCTGTGGTATGTGAATGTAATGGAATACTATTGTGCTATAAGAAATGATGAGCAGGCTGACTTCAGAAAAGCCTGGAAAGACTCGTATGGACTGATGCTGAGTGAAGTGAGCAGAACCAGGAGAACGTCGTCCACAGTAACAGCCACGTTGTGCTATGATCACCTAGGAATGACTCGGCCTTTCTCAGCAATGCCAGGATCAAAGACATCTCCAGAGGCCTCGTGATGAAGCCGACTGTCGCCTCCAGAGAAGGAGCTGGCATTGATTGAAGACAGACCGAAGCAGGCTGCTTTTCACTTTCGTTCTTCCATTTTTTTCTTTTATTCGAGTCTTCTTGTACAGAATGACAAACATGGAAATGTTTTACAAAACTGCACCTGTATAACCTATCCTCTCAGGGCAGGGGAGGGATAGAATTTGGAACTCAAACCTTTAAGTAAAAATGTGAAAAAAAGGAGAGAAAAAAAGAAAAGAAATGGCCAATTGAGATGATTGGGGGGGGGGGGCGTTATAGAAGGGAATGCTGAGTAATGTAATGGCCGGTTTTGTCCTCAGAGAAGAGGATGAGAGGTGCGCTAACCTTGACCCTAAAGATGCACACGATCAGGTCACTTGCAGCCGCTAGGGGGCAGCACACCACACACTGCTAGGCCTGGAGACAGGAAGTTGTTTTTGTTGTTTTTCAGTAGTTGGACTCTCTGGGACCCATTTTGGGGTTTTCTTGGCAGAGATACTGGAGTGATTTGCCATTTACTTCTCCAGGGTTCTCATTTTACAGATTACAAAACGGAGGCAAACAGGGTGAAGTGACTTCCCCAGGCTCACACAGCTAGTAAATGTCTTGAGGTCAGATTTGAACTCAGATCCTCATGACGTCAGGGCCTGTGCTGTATCCACTGTGCCACTGAGCTGCCCAGGAAGACCGGAGCTCAAATCCCGCCTCAGACACTAGCTGTGTGACTTGCCCAGAGTCACACCTTTGGGGTGAGGGCTGTTCCTCCACGTCTGTCCTGGCTCCAGGAAGCTGGAGCACGCGCAGCGGCTGCACCCCCGTAAACCGTCTCGGCAGCCAGGCCAAACCAGGCTGAAGCTAACTGAGGGGCCTCAGCCCCGGGAGTGAAGACTTCCCCCAGTGGGGTGGGCGGATCCCAGGGCCACGGAGGCAGCTGAAGCTTGCGCTGTGGAGCTTAGAGCTGAGTCAGACATGGAACACACCGCAGTCATCCAGTGCATCCTGGGCTGTCGACAGTCGTCCTGACTCGTCCTGCCTCTGGACTTTGAGGACTCTGGAAGAGAGCAAGGCCACCGCCTCCCTATAGTTCAGGATGTGACCCCGCAGTGTCACTGACTCTCTTCAAAAACAAAGGACAGACAACAATTACTAGTATTTTTTTAAAGGCTCATTTGCTCTGTTGGCTGGTTTGGGGCTTAGCGGTTTTTCCTTTATTACAAGGGACAGCTCGTGGGGTAGTATGAGGGAAAGACGTCCAAGAAGGGCTGGCTTCCCCAACAGAAACACTCAGAGCTTAGTCTCTTCAAAAGTGAGTTAGAGACCATGAGATTTCTGAGGAGACAGGAAGGGAGAAGTGGTGCCTGAGGCCCAGTGCCCCCAGCTTTAGGGGTGAGGATGACCCCCGAGGGTCTAGTGGCGAGCCTCCAGTGTCCTCATGAATAAGATAATATGGGTGCATTGGATGGTGGCTGACTCAGTTCAGACCTTTATGAAGCATCTACTGTGTGTGCCAGGCACCGGGCCCTGGTGCATCCACGAAAGAGGGCTTTCTTGGACACAGGCACGGTCAGGGCCAGGGTAGGGCAGGCCATCACGGACTTGGGAGAGGGCATCCAGATGGAATGGAAGGACAGAGAAATCAGTCTCGAAAGGCAGGGGGGCACTAGGTTGCGAAGGGTCTTAAAGGTTGTTTTTGCCTCGGAGAAGACAGGGAGTCCCTGGTTTGTGTTAGAGCAGGGCCCTGAGGCCTGACTCAGTTTACTCGTGGTGAACCCAAGGCCCCTGAAGTTCTTTCCAGCTGGGGGGCCGGGGAGGCAGTTCCCACAGTCCAGCCTTGACCACCTGTGTGTCCAATTTTTGGTTTTCCCAGTGTTGGAAGCCTGGGAAAGCTCTTGGGGCCCTTGCCCATGCACCCAGCCGCCGAGGACAACTATGGTTATGACGCCTGCGCCGTCCTCTGCCTGCCCTGCGTGCCCAACATCCTCGTCATTGCCACCGAGTCAGGGATGCTGTACCACTGTGTGGTGCTGGAAGGGGAGGAGGAGGAAGAGCAGCACGTAAGCGCCCCCACGTGGGTGCCCTGGGGGTCGGGGCCTGGTGGTGAGCACAGGAGGGAAGATGTGTTTCCATAGCACCTACTATGCGTGGGCCTCTCTGCTCTGGCTGGGCCAGATGACGTTTGTAGGGTTGTAGGGGGGCTGGTGGCACGGCTGGAGTGGATCCAGAGGGGGCCCAAGGACCCAAGACTGCCCTGTGGGAGTCGGCACCCTGCCTTTGGCCAGCATTTAAAGAGGTCATCCTCTGGACCAGAGGTGGGGAACCTGCGGCCGAGGCCACACGTGCCCTTTTGGGTCCCTGGGTGCAGCCCTTTGAGTCCAAGTTCTACAGAACAAACCCTTTTACGAAAGTTTGGATCCAGATGAAAGGCCACACTTGAGGACCTAGAGGGCCACATGTGGCCTCAAAGCCCCAGGTTCCCCAGCCCTGCTCCGGAGCAGGAGGAGGCAGCGATTAGGAAATCGGGGTCACAGCTTAGAGCCACGGGAGGGATTCAGACACAGGGAATTGTCTCTTGGGCACCAGAGTCTGCAAGGACAGGGAGGTCACAGGCAGGGGAGGGGGAGCAGCCACATAGAAACTTCCAAGGGCTTGGGCCCCCAAAGAGTCTGCCCCGCCCCAGCATTCCCATGCTGTGGGTCCTCCTCCAGGGAGGCCACGTGGCCCCATAACTCAAGGCCCACACGCTTTTCTGCAGTCGGAGAAGTCGTGGGATTCTCGGGCTGACCTCATCCCTTCTCTCTACGTGTTCGAGTGTGTGGAGCTGGAGCTCGCTCTCAGACTGGCCTCCGGAGAAGAGGACGATGACCCCTTCGAGTCAGATTTCTCTTGTCCCATTAAGCTGCACCAAGGTGAGGGAGGGATTGTCCTGGGAGATGCTGGGGGGCAGGGCGGGGCGCTCCTCCACTTCCTCCTCCTCTCTTGGCTCATCCTCCCCCCCAGCCCCCCACCTCACCCCCCCACACACCCAGGGAAGGGGGGAGGGAAGCAGAGTTCTCCAAGGCTGATGTGGAGAGTGCCGAGGCTCAGGGGGCCAGACTAGGAAAGGCTTTGGATGCCAAATAGAGAGTTTTGTACTGGATCCTGGAGGCAACAGGAGGCCACTTACTGAATAGGGAGGGGGGAAAGACAGGATCAGACCCGCACTTTAGGAAAATCATTTTGGTAGCTGGATGGAGGATAGGCTGGAGTGGGGTGGAGGCTCGGGGCAGGCAGACCCTCCCAGCATGAGGTGAGGAGGGCCTGCACCGTGGTGGGTGGGGGCAGGGACAGAGGTGAGGAGGTGAAATGGATGAGAGATGAGGAAGAGCTGAAAGTGACAGGCCTAGGCACCATATTGGATGTGAGCCCAGGATGGCTCCCAGGTTAGGAGCTTGAGGGTCTGGGAGGAGGGCGCTGCCCTCTATGGGGGAAAGGTGACGAGTCCTATTTTGGAGTTACTGAGTTTCAGATGTCTACTGGAGGTCTTGGTGGTGTGAGATTGGAGGCTGGCAGAGAGGCTGGGGCAGATTTGAGAACCATCAGCACAGAGGTGGTCATTAAGTCCATGATGAGGTCACCAAGTGAAGGCATCTAGAGGGAGAAGAACAGAGGGCCCAGGACAGAGCCTGAGGGACACCCATGGTGGGGGGGGGGGGCGTCTGGAGGAGGAGCGGTCAGAGAGCCAAAGGAACAGGAGTAGATGTTTGCAGCTCCTGTACCAGGCACTGTGCCAGGCACTTGACAGATCTCTGCCAAGAAAGTGCTAAGAAGAAGAGTGGCCATTATCGTCAGGTGTAGCGGAGAGGCAAAGGAGGGTGTGCCTGAGGATGCCTGGAGCAGTCTTAGCGGGTGCAGTGAGGGGGATGGGGACAGAGGGTGTGGAGCCGCCAAATGTAGGCAACTTCTCTAGGAGTTTGAGACAAATAGGAGAGCAGCTTGCCAGGTCTGAGGGGTTTGTAAGGAAGGAGAGACGCGGTTGGGTTTGTAGAAAGTGGTGTATGAGGCAATCAAAAGGGAGAAATTGGAGGCAGAAACTGGGAGGAGTGTGGAATGATGCCAGTTTTGATTTGGGGTGGGGGTGGGGTGCCTAGGCACTGGGGTTAACTGACTGGCCCAGGGTCACACAATTAGTAAGTGTCAAGTGTCTGAGGTCAGATTTGAACTCGGGTCCTCCTGACTCCAGGGCTGGTGCTCTATCCACTGTGCCACCTAGCTGCCCCGGAATGATACCTGTTTTGAGATGAGAAGAGCCCCCTGAGCCCCCTTTTGTGGATTGGGGGAAGGGATATGGTGTGTATGGGCAGTGCTGTAGGGAGCTGGTCTGGGGGGTGCAGGAGCATCGTCCCAAAGAAATTGGGCAATACATGTTGTTGACCTGGCCTGTGTGGTCATGTGGCTTCCTGAGCTCCATTGAGCAGCGCACAGTGAGGAGTGACCCAGGGCTCGGTTTGGCCACATGTGGGACACCATGCAGCTAGGACAGGTTAGAGGGGAGTGAAAGCAGAGCAGAGGCTGGGGAAGCTGGGGGGCACCTCCAGGGTTTGCTTTTAATCCTCCATCTCTAATTGCATCTGATTCTGTGTCCAGCCCAGGGAGGAGGAGGGAGCATCATGGATTTGAGAGTGGAATGACAGATTTTCATTGAAATCAGGGAGTCGTGTGGGGTGGTTTGGAGTGAGCAGCTCTCAGGATATAAGGACAGGAGCTGAGAAGGACAGGAAGAGGATTAACCTGGCATGAATCCTTGTGAAGGGGACGGGGAGAGAAGATGCCCCGTGATCTGGCCTGGGGGCGCTCAGGTCTCTGGCCAGGGTGAATGAGAAGGCTGAGCATGGCCCTTGTGGGCACAGTGACCTCAGCCTTCGGGCTTTCCAGCCTAGTATGCGGCCTGCCTCAGGGCGTCCTTCACCTCTCCACTGCAGATCCCAAATGTCCCTCCCGATACCATTGCACCCACGAGGCTGGTGTCCATAGTGTGGGGCTGACGTGGATCCACAAACTTCACAGATTTCTTGGGTCAGGTGAGTTCCGCAGTTGAAACCCCTCCGGGGATGTTTGTGTATTGTGGGGTGGGGTCGGCATGGTCCCCGGGGGTGCCCCATCAGGAGGGGACACAGCCACGGCGAGTCCTCGAGGACAGGTCCGTGGACGTTGCTTTTCTCTTGGTAGATGAGGAAGATAAAGACAGTTTGCAAGAACTCGCCGCTGAACAGAAATGCTTCGTAGAGCACATCCTCTGTACGAAGCCCCTGCCCTGCAGGTAAGGACGGCCAGGCCTGCAGCCACCACAGACCGGCTTCCCTGATTTCCTGGCCTCCTCCTGGGGGAAGGCACACCTCGCACCAGGCCCAGGGTCACCTGATAGGACAGGTTGGCCTGGCTGTGCATTAGCTAACCTGTGTCCCCTGCCCCGCGAGTCTGAGCCCTTTTCTCTGTAATGCAATTGAGAGCTGTTTCCCCAGGCGGCCGGCTCCCATCCGAGGGTTCTGGATCGTGTCTGATGTTTTGGGGCCCACGATGGTATGTGTCACCAACACTTACGAGTGCCTCACCAGGCCTCTGCTGTAAGTACTTCCCTGGGGCTGATCGCCGGGGGGTGGGGTGGGGAAGAAGGCTCTGTCCTGGGGTGTCCACACCAACCAGTGTCTCTGTTCTTGTTCTGATCTGCTTGTATTTATGGTGTGGCCCACGGCAGAAGCACAGTCCACCCCACTTCTCCTCCTCTGCTGTGTGCCCGTGAGGACGTCGGCATGGCACAGTCTCCCCTGCGTATCCTGGCAGAAACCCAGGACTCCTTTGAGAAACACATCCGGAGTACCCTGCAGCGCAGCACGGCCAATCCTGTGTTTCTGAAGTATGGCAGGAGGCGGGTTGTGGCTGACCATGGGTGTCCGTGCTGACATGAGGCCAGTGGAGCTTAGATGTCCCCCAGTGGCAGTTTTCAGGCATGCGGAGCGCCCCTGGTGGTGCCACAATGGATAAGGAATTGGATGGACCTGGAGTCGGGAAGCCCCAAGTTCAGATCCAGCCTCAGATCAGCCTGTTTCCTCATCTGTGAATGGGGCTAGTAATAGCTCCCACCTGCCAAGGCTGTTTTGGGCATCAGATGAGATTCTGCCTGTAAAGCACTTAACAGCACCATACCTAGCTCATAGTAGGTTTTATTCTTAGAAAATGGGCATCAGTGTTTGTCCCTGATTGGGCAGAAGTAAGCCTCGAATGAGATCATGTTTGTGAGGCAGACCGTTGGGGGTGGGGAGGTGTGCTGAAGGCTGGCTCTTCCTCCCTTTCCCCCAAGATCCTCCGACAAGGACGTGGCACCCGCCCCTGAAGAATGCCTCCAGCTGCTCAGCCGGGCCACGCAGGTGTTCCGAGACGAGTACATTCTGAAGCAGGACCTGGCCAAAGAGGAGATCCAGCGGAGGTGAAGCTTGGCCACGAAGGCGGCTCCTGCTTTGGGGGGGAGGGGGCCAAGCCCATGTGACCTTTCTTTATTTTTTGTTTGTTTTTTGTTTTGGCTAGGCAGTGGGGTTAAGTGACTTGCTCAGGGTCACACAGCTAGTAAGTGTCAAGTGTTTGAGGCCAGATTTGAACTCAGGTCCTCCTCCACACCTAGCTGCCCCCTTTCTTTTGTTCTTAAAGGGTGAAGTTGTTATGTGGCCAGAAGAAGAAGCAGCTTGAAGACCTCAACTACTGCCGAGAAGAGAGGTGAGTCCTGGGGGGGGCCAAGGCGGGGCGTACCACCCATGGGAGGGGGGGGCAGTGTGTGCCCAGCGTGGTGCTCTCCCCCATCTCTCCTCAGGAAGAGCCTCCGGGAGATGGCTGAGCGCTTGGCGGACAAGTACGAGGAGGCCAGGGAGCGCCAGGAAGATCTCATGAACAGGTGTGGGGGCAGTGCCAGGCTTGGGGGAGGGGGAGGGCTGGCGGCCAGGGAAGCCCCCGGCCCAAGGCAAGCCGCCACTTCTTTCCTGGGAAGGATGAAGCAGCTGCTGCGCCGCTTCCACTCGCAGCTGCCCGTCCTCTCTGACAGCGAGCGGGAGATGAAGAAGGAGCTACAGCAGATCCCAGACCAGCTGCGGCACCTGGGCAACGCCATCAGGCAGGTGAGGCGCGGGCAAGGCAGCAGCAGGGCTGGGTAGCGGCGTCCAGACAGCATGTGCACGGCCTTTCTGTCTGCCCCCTGTGCCCAGGTCACGATGAAGAAGGACTACCAGCAGAGAAAGATGGAGAAGGGGACGAGTCCTCAGAAGCCCACAATTACGCTCAGTGCCTACCAGCGCAAATGCATCCGGACCGTTCTGAAGGAAGAGTGAGTGAAGCAGCCCCGCCCCCAGCCCCTCTCTCCCCATCCTGGGGCAGGGGGCGGTTGTGGGGGGCAGGGAGGGGAAGAGAGCCTCATGGTCTGGCTTTTCAGGGGTGAGCACATCCGGGAGATGGTGAAGCAAATCAACGACATCCGGAATCACGTGAACTTCTGACCCTGACCTCCAAGGCCAAGGCCGAAGCTAGGAGCCGACCCAGGGAGGACCTCTGGGAGCGGGCATTTGTCTGGTTTCTGCCCTCTTGATTTCATAAAGGACAAATACCAAATAAATACTTTTTATAAGGAAGGAGTGGCTGGGTAGGACTTGGCTTCTGGGCTGGCAGGGGCGCGCTCCCTGCATGGACACAGTGACCCACACAGTCCCACTGGGCAGCAGCTTGTTTTTAATGTGAACACGCTTAAGGACACACCTTCAGTACAGTTAACAATGGTTACAGTTGATTGACAGCACAAGACACCAACAGCGTGCTTCTCTGTCTGGGCAGCAGGATGAGGGGTTAAGAAAGCCGGGTGTCAGAGCACAGTCCTGGCCCCCGATGGGGGGGGGGGGGGGCAGAGCCAGGCTGCCCTGGCGAAGGGGATGTATTGGCCACGCCCAAGGAAGGGGAGCAGCTTTCTCTGGGAGGCCCTCTAGCTCGTGGCCAGCTCACAAGGAGAGGGAGCTAGGAGGCCTTCAGGAGGTGGGGATTTTATTCAAAATACTTTTAGTAAAGCCAGTTCCAAAGAGGGAGGGGCTGGCAGAAGGTCCCATGTGTTTCAACAGTCAGAAAGGAGTTGTATTGGCCAGGCTTGCTGCACGTGGCAGCTCCCGTGGGACTCCCAGGGAAGCGGGGCACAATGCTGGAGATCACGGCCGTTGTTGGCATCCATCCTTCCTCATGACGATGTGCTCACCAGATAGCCCCAGGGAAGGACTTGGCACGATAAACTTGTGCAGGTCCCCTCCTCCCCCCAATTAATGCAGGTTAAAAGAAAGCCCTCCAGCAATTATTAACAGCTGGCTGTTTTCCCCAGCCAGTCAACAAACAGCAGGAGGACCCCATGGAGGCCAATGGACTCCGACATGGGCAGTTTGTGGAAAAGGGCTTCCTGGTCACGTGTTTGTGCTTTTCTCAAATCCACCTTGGGTTTCCAGAGCCCACTTCCACACTCACCTAAGCAGGTCCGCTTGGGGAGATTTCAGTGGGGTCTTAACCCTCTCAAGACAAAACAGTATAAACTGGGCTTGGAAATACAATCACTACCCAATGACCTGCTCACAAATTCATATTTTAATATAAAATATTCATACAGCAGACCTACCCTGTCTCCTAGCTGAATACTGTTATGGACTAGCCCTATTCCAACAGAAAACACGGGTTGCCGTTCATTCTCCCACCTTCTTGTGAACGTCATTAGGGATTCCAGAAGCCACTGGGCCACTTGGGGGAAATGTTCCATGAGCCTCCGTGAGCCAGGGCCTCCTAAAAAGAGGCTGGAGGCCAAACTCGGGAGCCGCCGTCCTCTCCCGCCCAGCGGGCCCAACAAAGTCTTTCCTCCTTCCCTGTTCTCTTCAGCTTCTTCCGTTAAGAGTTAAATAATAATTAACGTTGCTATAAAGATGAGTTAAAAACCCCAACTGCAGTCTGGGAGTCCCAGGGTCAGCCTGTCATGTCTCCGGAAGCTGGTTAATGTCCGTCAGTTTTGTGTCATTCAGAATGGCCCGGATTCTCTCCAAGGAGTCTGCCTGCCGGATCCGCTCTAGCTGGACCTGCCAGGAGACCAGTGGGGATGGTCGGCCAGGGGTGGAGGGCAGGGACCACACTCAGCACTGAGGTATGCAGGGGCCACTGAGAGAATGGGGGTAGATGGGGCCCCTCAGGCTGCAGGCTGGGGCTAACCCCCCTGGCCAGTGACCTCCCGGGCTGGGATCTCTTGGCTTCGGTCCCACTTCTCCATGCTGACTCCCTTCAGACCTGTCTGACCAATGATGCAGCTCCCTCAGCTTCCCCTAAGGCTCTGTCCTAGGTCCTTTGTCAACAAGCATTCACTAAGGGCTGTGTGTGTATTCCAGGGAGACACATATCTATTCCCTGCCCTCAGGGAAGCCGAAGTGTGCACATACATACAAAGACATGATACACACAAAATGGATAAGGGGGTGGGGGGCAGGGAGCAGAAAGAGCTGGGTCTAGAACAGAGGCCTGACCTTCAGCACAATCACTTGGGCCGGCAGACTCCTCCCCCCAGGGGTACCGCCCTAGCTCCCATGTGAGGAGGTGAGGCCTGCGCTAGGGAGGTGGAGAGAAATGGAAGTATCTACTTCTCGCTGTCTGCTCATCCCACCCTGGTAACCTCCTTGGCTCTCCCTGGCTCGGTTATGATCACTAATCTCCCTGCCCTCGTTGTTATGTGACCAGTGTCTACCTAGCATGCTGCATTTAACACATCCATGGTGCAGTGAACCCCAACCCCCTCTCCTCTCCCTGTACCCGGCTCCCCCAGCCCAGCCAAATAGTCCATATTTCACACCAACCTCCTGAGGTTCAGGCCCTGCTCCCTCCGTGCCTGGGGGTCAGCTCATGTCTCCCCCCAGGGCCACTCCCCCGTAAGCTGAACCCCCAGCCCTTCCCAGGAGAACAGCAGGACCTCTGCCCCCATCCCCCCAAATGCTCAGGACAGGTTTGGGGCCTGCACACAGTAGGTACGTGCTCAATAAATGCCTTACCTGCAGCGTCTGGGACAGTTTGACAAAGTCTCTCTGCACCTGTTCGCTGACGTCCAATTCTGTCTGCAGACGCTGAGCTTTGTTCTTCTCCTCAAACATCAGCTGCTCCACATTTGTCTGGAAAAGATGTGGAGTCAGATGGGGCTCCTGGCCAAGAGCCTGGGCCTCCCGCACCCCTGGGGGGACACAGCTAACTGAGGAGGACTAGAGGAAGCAGGTGTGACCACAGGATGAGAAGGCCACACAGGAAAACCCATCAACAGTGGTGAACCTGGCTTCCAGCCTGGCTGTGTTCAAGCCTTATGTCCTCATCTGTAAAATGGCCTGCTATGTGGCCATGGAGATGGTGGGGCCTGCCTGGATCTCCCACCACAGAGGGGAGCAGTGCAGAGAAAGCCAGGCAGGGAGTCAGGAAGACCCAGGTTCAAGTCCTGTCTCTGATCCAGATTGGCTGTGGGACCCTGGACAAGCTTCACCACCCCAGATGCTCCTGGGCAGCTCTGAACCCCCAGGTGGCACACCTACACTGGAGGAGGGTGTTTCCCCCTTGGGAATTTCCCTAACAAGGCACACCAGCTCTGGGTCTGCCCTAGCCCTGTTCCTATAATTACCCACGCAATAATCAGGCCAAGAGCCATCGCTTCTACAGATCTGCAAAGCAGTTTGTCTCATTTGATGATGACGGGCTAATGAGGGAGGCAGAACAGTTTTAAGGAAGGAGAAACTGAGGTACAGAGTGGTTAATGGACCTGCCTATGACCTACCGCCAAAGGTAGGCAGGGACGTTGGGCCAAGCTTTCCAAGGCCACCAGGTTGTGCGACCATCAGCCCATCTCAGAGATGAAGAAACTGACCAGGCAGCAGGTGAGAGCCATTTCTGCACTGTCTCCTGCCCCAAAGCCATCCCCTGATGACATACTATGGCTGGATTCATGTCTGAAGCACCAATTAACTCAAGGATGAATTAAGGGGATCCCCCAAATGCCCCCCTCCCCCCACCACCTTGGCCACAGTCTCTCTCTTCAGCTGCTCCCCCAAATTCATCTCCATCTCTCGAAGGCTTGCCAGCTGCTCCGTTCTCTCTCTTAAGGTGGATTCCAGCTGTGGGGTGGGGCAAAGGAAGAGGCATCAGGAACAATGTGCCAGACCCCGCAGGGCAGCCAAGGCAGTGGGGAACCAAGGGGAGCCACCCCCTCCATCCCCTGGAAAGGGTCATGAAGAGAACCCAAGGACTGGCAACAAAGAGGCAGCCCCTGAGGCTTGGAAGAAGGGCCAGCCAGCCACGGGCACTCCCCAGAGAGCTGCAGGCTCCTTGTGGAGGCCTTAGTTCTAAGTGGATCATTGGAAGCGCCCCACCCCCACCCCCCAACAAAGCACCCACCTGCTCCTTGTCAGCCTTGGTCCTCTCCAACTCCACTTTCAGGCTAGAGATGGAAGCTAGAAGGGGAATTAAGTTCACACGAATGTGCTTGTGGGTTAAATAACAGGGACAAGTGGACTCCGGAAAAATCTCCCCTAATGCCCAAGGGTACTCCCAAATGCCCAAGGGTACTCCCTAATGCCCAAGGGTACTCCCAAATGCGGCTGCTGGTGCACACTGGCCTGGCCCCACCACGCCCCCCCGGCGCTGCTCTTCCCTCCGCCCCGCCCCCAGGGCCTGGCCCCGCCCCCAGGCTCTTCCCTCCACCCCCTTACCAATTTCCTCCTTGCAGGTCTCGATCTCCAGCTGCAGAGTCTCCTCCAGGTTTTCCTTTAAACATTGCTCGGCTTGTATCTGCTCTTTTAAAAAGAGGATTTCTGCCTTCAGTTTCTCCTCCACGTGGTCGGCGGCCGTCCTCACACTGACCATGTTCTCCCGGTACTTCAGCACCAGCTCCCGCAGGTCCTGCATTCAGAGCATCAGTCCATAGTAAGTCCCCAGGCAGGTCCTAAGCACCTACCATGTGCCTGGCACCAAGCTCTGGGGATTCCGCCACTCAGGCAGGAGTTCGGAGCCCGGAGCCTGGCCCCTGGCCAGCGCTGCCGCCGGGCTCTCGGCAGGACTTCCCAGCACCTGCCCCTCTGCCGCCTGCTGCCTTCCCAGTTACCTCCGCCGACTCTGGGAGGACGAAATCCTCGGCCTGCTGTAAGGCCAGGTGGAGGCCATGCTTCCCCTGCAGACTCTCGTTCTCCTTCTGCAGCCTGGCCAGCTCCTCGGACACCTGCTCCCGCGACTGCATGAGCACGCCCTCCAAAAGAAAGAAGGCTCCTTGGGGCCTGGGGCAGCTCGCAGGGGGCGCTCACTCCAGCCCAAGAAGGCAAAGATCGATCAGCACGCCACCCCATGCCAAGCCACAGCCGTGTGGCAGGGCACCCTCCGTGGTGCCCCAGGGAATAGGCCCTCTCACCCTTCCCTTTTCTAGCTGAGAGAAGGGGTCGGGGGTGGGGGTAGGGGCAGGAAAGCAGCCTTCACCTATCAAGAAGCCGACCTCAAACATGCCCAGTCAGATGGGGCACCCGTAGGAGAGGGGACCCTCGGTCTGTAGAAAGGGCTGCCCTGGTGGGGTGAAAGCAGCTTTTCTCCCAAACCTCTCTGGCATCCCACAAGCAGAATTTAATTCTCCAGGTTTTCGAAGCCCCTTCCCACTTCTGGGCTGCTGGATCCAGCTGAACCCTCTGCGATCTGCTGTGCCCGCAGAGATCCGTCCCCTCAGACACCAGTCCACTCAACCTAGACACTGTTCACTGCTCTGTGCGTCTCCTGGTGTCCTCCTGTTTCCCGTCTGTGGCTGTACCTGCCTTAAGGCCTCCCTGCCTTCCTGTCCCTGTCTAGGGCCCTGAGCCCAGGAGCTCTATTCCCATAGTGTTTCTTATGTATCTCACCAGGTGCCCACCCTTCTTCCTGCTGTGGGGCCTCGCCATTCACCAGAAACGCTGTCCAAAGGAAAGTGGGGAGGGAGTGAATGGTGGCTGACTGAGAAGGGGGGCGGGGTCTGAGGGTGACATCTGGTCTTCTGGTCCCAGGAAAGTGGGGAGGGAGACAGGAATCCCAGAGGCCAAAACCCCAAAGCCCAAGGCCTAGACAGCAACGAATGCGCCCCCAAAAGATGAAACTGACTGTGCTTGAGCAGTGGTCTGGGGACAGTCTGCCCAGGAGCCTGTAAACTAATGCAAATCTGGGAAAACAAAAAAGAGCAAAGACCTTCCACCAGATCTGTTTAAGCAAATCCCTGGTGCCCAAAAATGGGAAGTGGAGGAAGGAAAAGCAGATCTGCTTACAATGGTTGCACATTAAAATTCATCACTAAAGGTCAGGAAGGCAAGGGAGGGAATGAGCATTTATGCAGCACCTGCTGAGTGCTAGCTCTGAGCTTCACAACAACCCTGAGGAAACTGAGGTAGCAGAGGTGAAGTGAGTTAACCAGTCACCCTGCTATTCAGGGTCTGAGGCCAGATCTGAACTCGGGTCTTCCTGATTCCATGCCCAGCCCAACCGTGGTCCACACTTGACTTCCTGGCCAAGAGGAGAGTGGACAGGCAGTGGGCAGTGGGAGAGGGCAGGGAGAATGGGAGATTTTGTTCTTAAAACCAGCACAGGAAGGACAGGCCCCCACCCCCAGGTCCCACGCTGCACATCTCGCTCTGGAGGGGACTTGGTGCACATGAAGGGAACTGGCAGGTTGGGGTTCTGGGGCCCAAACACAGCGGGGACACCCTTTTGTTGGGAAGGATGATCCCCAGGGCTGAGCGCGGCTTCTGCCTTGTGCTGGCTATCCCCCCCCACACCCCTATTGGAGTGCCGCCGGGGGAGGCAGGTTGGGTCAGGAATCACTTCAGGGGCACGGGGCGCCTCTCAGACGCCAGACACCAAAAAGCACCCCTTACCATCTGCTCTTGTGCGCTCCTCTGGGCCTGTGAGAGTGCTTGCTGAAGTTCACCCAGCACGAGCTCCGACTCGTTGGTTCTGAGCGCCAGGGCCGAGATCTGTGACAGAGCAAAGACAAGTCCGTGACCTCGCTGGCCATCCTCCTCCCACAGCTGGACCCCAGTCCATCCATTGACCGCATGTCTAACTGCCCCATCCCCCTGGGACACCACCCTTTGGGAGAACAGAGTAGAGCAGGGGGCAGCCTGAGGTGGCAGATGCTTTCTGGACACGGCTCCCAGGACCGGCCATGGGAAGGCCGCCAGTGATTAAGGCTGACCTCCCTCCCTGTGAGTACAGGCCCAGGCTCGCGGAGCCCCCCGTCCCCCCCCCCCCGGGTGCCCAGGTCTCTCGTGTCCACCTGTCACCACCCAGATTGGAGGGTGGGAGTGCGCGCACCTGACGCCCAGACTCCTCCGAGCTCTGCCTCATCAGCTCCTCCAGCTGTTGCTTGTCCTTTGCTGTCTTCTCCAGCTGGTCATTGGCTTGCCTGAGCATGACCTGGAGCTTCTTTACCTGGGCGGCATCAACAGAGACCCTCAAGTGTGCCCTCCGAGACTACACAGAACTCTATGAACTGAGCCGATGCCTGAAGCGTGCCATGTCAGTATCTTAGTCCATCCATGGATGGACTAAACTCATTAATCTGGGCTCTGCTAATTCAGAATTAAAAATGGCGGCACCCATTTATTTATTTAGTTTTCAGGCCTGCAGAGCTCTTCACAAATACCTCATCCTCGCAACCACCCTGGGATCTTCCCCATTATACAGAGGAAGAAACTGAGGCAGACAGAGGTGAGCACACAGCTCTCACAGGCCTGCCTGAGCTCTACTGGACCCCCAGGGCAGCCGGGATAAAGTCCTTGCTTGGTGTGGGGTGAGAGGTAACCAGACCGATGTGGATGACCTAACTCCTGCCAGGTCCCAATCCCTGATTCCCTCCTGCTTCTGACAGTGGCTCTGGAGCTTAAGAATTCGAGAGGCTACTTCCTGAAGGCCCTGTGCCATCCCAATCACATTGTGGGGCCACCCTTCCAGGGCCTTCCCAAGGCCGTGGCACCCCATCCAACTCCTGGGAAAGGCTGTCTACACTCGCCTTCCCCTCCACCTGCTCTCCTCTGGATCTGTCCTCACTAAAGTTGTCACATCTGAAGGTCCCTGCTCAGTCGCTGTCCTTTTCGGCTTCTCTGCCATGCCTACCACTCTCCTTGTTGCCGAATCTATCATCTCTCTGCTCTGGGCTCTCCCTTCTCCTCCCCACTGATCGGACTGCTCTTTCTCAGTCCCTCCCACCCCTATGGGTGTCCCCCTGCCTCCAGGAAGCTCCTTCTTGGGCTCATCACTGCCCTCTGTCATTGGAGGTGGGGCCATGAATGCCAGTCTCCACTGAAGGAGAGGGCTCGTCTCTCACCTGGTGGTTCTCGTGACTCCTCCCCCATGTCCCCCTGATCCCCCCTCACTTTTCAGGTTCCTCTTCTGTGTCATCTTCCATCCTTAGACTGTGGGCAGGGCAAGTCTTTTCTATTTTTAATTCCTGGTGAATGGCACAGTGCCTAGAGCACACAGTAGGTCCTTAATACTTAACTAGTGGCTGAAAAACTGAGGCTAAAACAAGCAGTTCAACCCCTGCACTCCCCCAGTAGAAAAAGTGTATTGGGACCTGAACAGAAGCAACCTCCAAGTCCTTCCTTCTACAGATGAGGCCCTGAGAAAGGGAGGGACTTCTCTAAGGCCTCCAAGGTCCTATGTGAGCTCAGATTCAAACCCAGGGACTGTGACTACGTGGGTCAGCTGGACTCCAAAAGTACAGAGCAGGTTCCAAAGCCTTAGCTTCAAAGCCCAGCTCTGTCAGTGGTCTAAGTGCCCTGAGCCTCCATTTCCTTCTCTAGAAGTGAGGATGATCACACTTGCTCCAGCAGCAAACCTCAAGTGTCCCTCCCACACCTACTGACTTCAGTCCAAGGAGGCAGATATCTCTTGGGAGCAGAGGCTGGGTCTCCAAGCCCTGCTAGGCAGAGGAATTCAACAGCCTCCTCTTCCCCTTCAGGCCAGAACCTCCCCAGCTCCTGTGCTTGCTACCCAAGCTAGTCAAGGTAGCCAAAGATTCAGCTGATGATAGTGAGGCCAAGAGTGGATGAAATGGCTGGCATCATATGGCCAGGTGGCATTCCTCTAATGAATGGGAAAGGGCCCCACCTTGGCTGGTGCAGAGGTGCTCACCTGGTCTCGGGTCTCCGCCTCCTGGGTCTGGATGCCCTGCAGCTGCTTTTCGTAGTTGGAACACATGTCACATCGCCGGCCAAGCTTGTTCCCAGCATTCTGCACCTAAGGACCACAACCGCCATGTCAAAGGCAGAGGAGAGGCTTCCATGGGAAGGGGCCTGCCCAGAGCCAACACCCTCCTGGGAGAGGAGTCTTCTCTCCAGGCCCCCTTGGGAGGCTCACCACCAGCAAATTATGAGACAGGAAATGCTATAAAGATGTTCACAAAGCTGACAGAGGAAAACAGTCATGACCCGGCCATTGAGCGATGAAACACCATGAAAACACTCAACAAATGCACAAACGATAGTAACACCTCTTACAAATACAAAAGCAGAAGCCTTCTCCATAAATTCATCATGCCATGAGCCACCAGAACCTAAGCCCTCCCACAGCCCCAAAGGAAGGGAGGCAAGCATTCTCCTCCATCAAAGAGCCTTCACCTCCGCCCCCCCACCGCTGGCGGGGCTCCCCCCTACACCATAACAGTGCCCTTAGAAAATCCTGCAATGTCACTTTCCCGTGAGCCGCACAGTGGCTGAATTTCAAATCATTTTGGAAGGAAGAATTGCAAAGTGGGCTGGGACCCTCTGAGCTGCCTCTACCCGTCCTCAAGAAGCAACATGCCTTCCTGTCCCATGTATCCTCAGAGGCCACCATTCCCCCTCAACCCCACATGCATACATACATGCACACATACACGAATTTGAGCACACACACACTCCACACCCTGGAGGAGGCTGACCTTGGGAAGGCACACACGCGCACACACACACACACATACATATATGAATCTGAGCACACACATGTACACACACTCTCCAAACCCTGGAGGAGGCTGACCTAGGGAAGGCACACACACACGCACACACACAGAGATATACATATACATACATGAATCTGAGCACACACATATACATACACTCTCCAAACCCTGGAGGAGGCTGACCTAGGGAAGGCAGGCACGTGCACACACACACACACACACACACACGCACACGCACACACACTCCAGACCTTGGAGGAAGCTGACCTAGGGAAGGCACACTCGTGCACTTGTACACACACATTCACACACACATACACGAATCTGAGCAAACACGCATGTACACATTCTCCAAACCCTGGAGGAGGCTGACCTCAGGAAGGCACACACATGCACAAATTTAAGTGTGTGTGTGCACACAGACACACACAGACACACATGAATCTGACCACACACATGTACACACACTCTCCTAACCCTGGAGGAGACTGACCTCGGGAAGGCCATTTGTAAAACACTTTAAAACAGAACTTGGCCATCCTACTTTAACAGCTGGTTCTTTCCCCCTGAGGTACCAAACTTCCTTCTCGGGTTTTAGGCAGAGAAGGGGAGCCTGGGCTGGGATAATCCAGTTTCCCTCTCAGAGAATCTTCAGGAAAAAAAGCATGAACCCAAAGTGACCAATACTCTGGCTGGCTGCACTGGCAAAGGGCTTCCACACAGCAGATCTAAGCAACATGAGAAGTAAAAAGTGAATCAGGAAGTCACCTTTGAGAGCAAGAAAGAGACCACTCACCTCCTTCTGCAGGAGATTCCATTCAGTCTCACTGACGAGGCGGTAGCCACTGGGAGACACATATGCGCTCTCCACCCCCTGCGTGACGCTGGAGAGGAGTGAAGCGGTCTCTTCCTGTTCAGGAGTCATGGCCTTAATGGCCTTTTCCTGATCTTTGGTCAACATAAACCCACTCGGCATCTGAAGGGATCCCAGAGAGGCTGTATCAAAGTTCTCAGACACTGAATCTGCTCCCACCAGCGGTCCGAAATCAGATTCATCAAGGTTCCCAGCAGATTTTGCTTTGTTGTTATACCCCAAAGTTTTGGACTGTAGCGATCCCGAGGTTCCCAGGCTGTCTGAGGACTGTGCCCGCCGCAGTCCTTCTTTAAACACATCACCATCCTGTTTGCAGAAGGGATCGCCTGAGGGCAGCAGCAAGTCTGCGTCTAATGAATGGACTGAGCCATGGCTATCTAAATGTTCCTGGAGATTCAAAAGAAAACAAAAAGGAATGAAGACACGCCCTTGAGCTGTACAAGTCCTGGTCCCTTCTTTCCCTGAGGAAACATGAACACGCATTATAACAATCCTAGGAGGTCAGTAGGTGGAGATATGAGAAGGCTCCAAGCCCAGGTTGCCTTCCTCTAGGCCTGTGCCTGAGCTCTCCACCATGATGAGTGAGTGTGCATCAACTAGGGAAGGCCCAACACGGGAAGAAACCAGGCTGCAGAAAAGCACCAATCAGAGCCAGGGTTGACAGGGCTTCCCACCAGGAGTAACTTCCTATGGCCACACAAGGTTTCCAAATGGGCAGCAAAGAAGGATGCACATTTTGTGGCCTATTAAGTGGTGTTTGAGCACTGCTGTAAAACAACTGGGTGAGACAAGTGCCAATCCCTAAGAACAGAGCTCGGGTTCTGGAGGCCTCAGACGAGGGGGCAGAGGTGACCTCACTGGGGTGACTGGTAAAGCCTGGGTCACCTGAGGAGGCCGGGACTTTACCTCCTCAGAGGGAGGGAACGCCTCATCCTGCGTCAGAGCAAAGACCACAGGAACCTTGACCTCCTCTTCGGCATCCATCTTCTCCGGCTCCTTCCTCTTGTTGACTCTTTCCTGCTCATCTTCCTCCTGAAACCAACAAGACCCCACAGAGTGACCAGCACACCCCCTGCGAGGCCTCACAAAGCACCTACTGTGCGCCACAGAAACTGAGCGACTGAGACTCTTCTTAACCGCTGGACCCTGGCCTGTCCTCGGTCAGCCGGCGGCCCTCCCTCGTGAGCCTTGATCTTCCCATCCACTGCTTGGCCAAGCGTCCGTCCCCGAGGCTGGGCCCTCCCAGCAGCCTCCAAGAGCTCTGTCTGCCCAACAGAAGTGGGCTGGGCTCCAGTGAGCCTTACCTCACCCCACACAACCCAAGATGCTCCAGTTGGGGGAATGGTGACCAGGCTCCTCTCGCCAGAATGATCTCATTGCTAATGTTCAGAGGGCACCTCAAGGCTTGTGAAGCGCTTTGCAAATGTGGTTTTGTAGGTGCTAGGATTATCCCCATGTTACAGATATGGAAACTGAGGCAGGCAGCACTCCAGGGGCATGCTGGGTTGGGCAGGATCCACGTCTAGGGCTCTACGACCCCCGGGTCTGGGTCTCCCCCTCCCCCCTCCCCAGGGCCATACCTGATCTCTCTTCTTGCGCTCCTCCACTTGCCTCAGCTGCTCCGAAGTGAGCACCACCTCCAGGTGCTGCATGTCTCTCATGAGCAGCCGCTGGGACTCCAGGAACTGGTCATTGGCCCTCTGCCAGGTGTGTTTGAGCTGGTTGTGCTGCTGCCGCTCCTGCTCCAGGAGGCGGCAAACTGGGGAAACCAAGGCCAAGTATGAGCCCTCCTGTGCCCAGGGGCCCAGAGTCCCTCCCCCCCCACCCCTACCCTAGAAACCGTTTCCTGTACGGCCAGCCTCCGAGTGCTGGGCTCCAGGGCAGACACAGGGCTAACAGGGGGCAGAAAGCAGAGGCTCCGCTGCTTCGAGGGGCTGGTCGACACCGTTACACACGCACACACGCATGCATACACATAGTTCACAAACACACTTTTATACACACACTCACACACACATACCCCAACACACACTCTCTCTCACATGCACACATATAGTCTCACACATACATACTCATACACACACTCACACATACTCTCTCATACACGCGTACTCTCACACATACATATGCACACGTTCTCACGTACACTCACAGACACTTTCTCATATACACACTTCGCAAACACACACTCACACATATGCATATACACATGCTCACGCACAAGCACAGAGCAAAATACAAGGCAGACTATGACAGGGGCAAACAGGAGAGATCTGGAACCACCCCCACCCATCCCCCAGAGCTGGGCCTTGAAGGAAGAGAAAGATGTTCCCAGACAGAGATGAGAAAGGCAGCAGAAGAGCCACTGAGACTAGAAAATCCCACAACGGTGTGACTGAACAAAGAAGACACCCGTGATGACCGGTTTATGGGCTACTCCACCCCCCTCACCCCAGGGGTCCCCACAGGGAAGACACTCGGGAGTGAACCGAGCAAAGGACCCTCCTTAACGAGATCCCACTGGGCTCAGAGTCCAGCGGCAATCAGGCCCCCGGGCCTCTCCTCCACCGGGATGCCCAGGAGTCCTTGACAGATGCAGTGACACAAGAAACTTTGTCCATGACCCCAGAGGAGCAGCCCCAAGCAAGGCCTATAATGACAAGGGGATTCTCTACAGGCGAGGAGGCCCCGACCATCCCAGAAGGGGGAAGCCCAGAGAGGCCTTGCAGAGGGCAGCGGCAATGAGCCAGAAGGGACAGGAGGAAGGAAGGAATACGAGCTCTCCAGATGACCAAAAGGGTGATGGACACAGGTCTGGTGGCCTGTGAAGATCTGCCCGGGGCAGGAGGGTAGGGGAAGCACCCTAACCCTAACCCTAAATGCGCACCCCAGGCCCCTCCCTACTGGCAGGCCCAAAGACAGCCCTAGACCTCAGCTGAGAGAACAGCAGGGTCACCCACCACTTCTACCTGCAGACCACCCTGAGGAACCTTTCCTTTGACTCTCGGAAAAGGGGGAACAACCAAATCCTCCAATGACAAATGAATGCCCGTCTGCACAGCATTTTGGACCGAGTGGTCAAAGACCTAGAAACCGCCACTGAGCCAGGCTGTCACTCACTACAGGAATAGGGCCCCAAAGCAGTTGGGGGCATTCCCGGCCCAGCTCCAGAAATCAGGTCAGGGTTGGCCTCGGATTGCAGGGGGGCGGGCACCCCACCCCATTCTAGGGTCTGCAAGGGGCAAGTCACCAGGAGACAAGGGAGATGCCAAAGTAACAAGCTGGACATGTGAAAGGTACCCTCTCTGAGCAGGATTTGAACACTGGGCCCAGCCCATCCTTACCTTCATGCAGCTCTTTCCGAAGCTTCTCTGCATCTTCTTGTAGGACAGACTTCTGTGTATTCAAGACAGCCACGTACATCTCCAGATCGGTCCTACAAGACTTCTCCGCTTCCAAATAGTGATTCAGCTCTCTCACCTGAAAGAAAGGCCCAGCTCTGTACGCTCACAGTGCGCCCTGTAAGGACTCGGATTCGAGGCCTGCCCATGACGTAGGCTTCAATAATAACCCCATCGAAAGACACTAAGTTTCTGCTAAACAGCTCCCCACACTGAAAACATCACCGGGAAACACAAAAGACCCAACTAGCCAGCTGGCATCTTCACTGGCATGGCGTGAAGGCCATCCATTCATCTCAGAAGACTCCCACATCCCAGGTCCTCCCAATCGCTCCATTTCTGACCCCACCCTTTCATCCAGAGCGCTGGGGACTCACTTCTTAGATACCATCTCAACCACACATCCTTCTCTTCCTGGCATACCTTGGCATCTGCCACTCAGGCATGGTCTACTCCTTCAGCCGGGCCCTCCCTGATGGACTCCCTCTCCCACACCCCACATGGGCTGTGCCAAGTCTTCAACTTCTGACTTTTCATCCCCACCCCTCCTTCCGTCTCAGCAGAGGCGCTCAGCTCCTACTTTGCCCCTCAAAGGCTGACCCCCTGCACTCCCCAACCCTCAAAGCCTCAAACCCTATCCCAGACACCCTGGGAAAGCCACTTCATCTCTATGTGCCACAGACTCAAAAAGATGACCAAAAAGAGTAAAATATGTGCTGCCGGCGGGGATGCTGGGCAAGGAGGCACAATGATGCGTTGCTGGTGGAGCTGTGGACTGCTCCGGCCATTCCGGAAATCACTTTGGCACCGTTACCAGAAGATTAACAAACTGTGCCTACCTCATGACCCAGTGATACCACTACAAAGCCTATGCCTCCTATCAAGAAAGAGGAAAAGCATCTCTAGGTACAAAAATACTCAAGGAAACCTTTTCATGGTGACCTACAAAGGGCACTAAGGAGGTGGCCTCCTATCAAGAAGCGTGAATGTAATGGTCAATTTCAGAGGAAGCTGGGAGACCGCTAGGAACTGATAACAGAGCAAAGTGAGCAGAGTCTGAAGAATTTATACAGCAATGAAAAAAACAACTTTGAAAGCCCTTACAACTGATCATGGAAATGACAAACTGATGGGCTGATGGGATCTGGACCCCTAAAACAAAGACCAAGGTTGAAAGCAACCCAGTCCCAGGGTTTTTCCATACATTTCAGCAGCCCACCCAGACCACCTAATTGGCCTACGAGACATTCCTTTCAAGGTTGTCCCTGGCCCACCCCAGACTACTTACCACTCCTTAATCCCATCCAGATCCTTTCACTGTCTCACCCCTATTAAGTGGCAGGCTCACTAGGAACCCTGCCCACTCCTACCCCTGCACTGGAAAGTTTGAGTGTGTGAATTCATTCCAGGCACATGCTGCCCTGTACTGTACCCTGGTATTTCATGGTTCCCAGCAATCCCAAACTGCATCAAAACCATGAGTTCAGAGGCCTGAAGATGAAAACACACGACCTGCTGCTGACAGAGAAGAGTGAGACCAAAATGCAGAGACAGCCAAGCTGGGAACTTGTTTTATTAGACCATGCGGCTGGGGATAGATGATTTCTTTTTTGGCTCACAGTGGGATGGGTAGGGAATAGTGGAAGGGCCAGATTTGTTTTTTAAAACACTTGTTAATGTAAACATTAAAATGAAGGGAGTAAGGAAGGGAAGAAGGAAAGAAGGACATATAAATGATAAATTCTTCTTGCTAAGGCCACACCCCCACCCCCTGCTCTTGCTCACAGCCCTACCTGGAATCCAGTCTCTCTTTTCTCGGCCATCTTTACTCAGCCCGGGGCCTCATGGAAGCTCCATTCATTAAAAGCCCTTCGAGCTCCCCTGTGTTCTGTCCTCCCAGTCACGACCCTAAATGCCTCCTACAAAAAGTCACCGTATCCATGTCCTTCTCTGCCTCCCTCGCTGCTTCATTTTGCACCCCCTTGCAATCAGGTTTGCAGATTCCCATCCCCCCATGCCTCCTCCAAAGCAGCTCTCTCCCTCTTACCTACCACCCCCCACAGCCTTTCCTCAGGGCTCCCCTTGTCACCCACCAGTCACTGCCAGATGATCAGGGGAAGCTGATGGAGAAAGGGCTTAAACGATTTGGCTGCCGTCACCCTGTGGGCCAGACAGGCTCCTTCTCCCCCAGACAACCAGACAGACCCTTCAAAAGCTTAGGCTCCAGACAGACCATTTCCCAGTTTTCTGGCTCAGCCGCTGGTTCGCTACAAAATCACCAACTTAAGCTCGGGGAAGCACCCTGGGCCCACTCCAATAGCCCTTAATCTTTGCAGCCCGCCCTGCCCATGAAGCTTCAGGGATTCCCTAGGAGAACCCTGGACTCCCTCAGCTCATCATTCAAAGCCCTGACTTTCCAAGCTTACAGTCTCTCTCGTGCACACTCGCGCTCATCTCTTAGAGGCTCCCCAGAGTTGTCAATCACCCACCCTGGAGACTTTCAGACAAGAAACTCCAAGAGGAATGGGAATGCCATGTACTACTGCCTGGCCCTTCCAGATCCCCGGGCTACTGGCCACTCCCCTTCCCGAGAATTCCCAGTCTCCTTCACCTTTACTAGGACAAATCCCCCAGGACAGGGATGGGACATTTCTAGGGCTTCACGCCCATTGGCAGAGTCCTCTTCCCTGATAAAGTCACTTATCACACATCATCAGTTAGCATTTTTTTGGTTAAGTCTCAAGGATTTTCTACACATACAACCAGGTTTTAGCTACTCCGATACAAAGGATTTTTTTTTTCATCTCTTCCTCTCGATTCGCTCCCATTTCTAGAACTATTTCTGTACAGGTTGGGGCAAAGGGGAAGGGGCCAGTCCTGCTCTCTCTCTCTCTCTCTCTCTCTTCCTCATAGGCTCCCCTCCTTCTTTACTGCCTAGGATGGGAATTCTGAGCTCCTTGTCTTACTTAGAAATGAGAGTTGTTGGGTTTTTTTAAAAAACCACATTAAGAAAAAATGCTGTTTCCCAATTCTTGCAATTTTCAATATTATTTTAAGTAATGCAGCCCACCCTGGGGTCCCTCCTCCTCTGATGAAGTTCTTGAAACAAGTCCCCTGGCCCCTCATCTGGATTGTCTCATCTTCATGATCTAATGCCTTGCTCTCCCATTTGTTCTACATGTCTCTTTTGGACATGGTTGTCTGCAGGCTGTCTCCCTCATCAGGACTGTCTGTGGCCTTTCTCTGCGCCCCAGCACTCACCACAGTGCTTGGTACCCTGCGGTCACTTAAGAAATGTGGACAGAAATGCCCTCTGCCACACCTCTCAGGAGTGGTCATCCCCCTCCCACCCCCACTCCCAGTGAGGGGGAGGGGAGCCCATCTCTTGCCCCCAGAGGCAGCCGATCCCAGATTTCCTGACCTCCAACCCAGATTCACCCTTTCCCTCGGGCCAAGGAAAACAAGGATAGGCCAAGCCTGCCCCTAGTCCTGTTCTGTGGGGCTGCCCTCAGGGGGTAGGGACCTTCCTCTCTTCTCTTATTCAGCCACAGCCCAAGGTGGGTGAGAGAGCAGGTGTCCAGGAGATACTGAGTGGCTGAAGGCAGTGTTGTTGGCCCAGCTATCCGAGAGCTGAAGAGGGCAGGGACTGTCCTTTCTTAGCATGGTGACTGGCACTTAATGCTTCCTGACCAACAACCTCCTTCTCCAGAGCCTCCTGGACTCTCTTGGATTGACTTTAGTCCTTGGGAACCATGGGGTCCCCAGGCTTCAAGTCATTTCCCCCAAGGCTAAGAAGTAGAGGGGGGAGCCTCCCAGGCCTCAGGAATTCAGGCCCGGGCTAGGGGCTAGGTGCTTTAAAAGTATTATCTCATTTGATGTTCCTGGGGCTGACAATACTCCAAGAGTACTTAGAAGGGTTAGTGAACTAAGTTAGGACTTAAAGTCCTAGTTTAAAGTTAAAACTACCAAAGAGAGGCATGGGGAGGGACCCACTGAGCAAGGAGGTGCGTGGAGGTTTCAGTTTGGCAGCTAGGTAGGAAAGAGAGGGAGCAGGGGCAGGGAGCCTGAAGTGGGAGGGCCTGGCCAGAGGATGATGGAGGGAAGAGACACCATATAAAGGGGCCTGGCCATGGCCTGGCCATATGGGTGAGGACCAGGGGTTCCTGGTTTACACAAAGGAAATGGTAGGGTGTGGGGGAAAAGAATGAGTCAGACAGTCTGACAGGCTGGGACTTGGGGGCTACAGGAGAGATCTGGGAGTCCTCAGCACAGCAGAGACCACGAAGCCCCCAAGAACCGAGGTTACCTAAAGAGGGTAGAGACCAAGGCTCTGGGACCCAGCAAAGGCGCAGGACAGGACAGTCGGCCAGGGAGGGAGAGAATGCAGAAGGAGCAAAAGCCCACGGTGGAGAGAGGCTACATCCGCCCTCCCTTGAAGCATAGCGCTCTCTCAGGGTGACCTCACCAGCTCCCAGGGCTTTATTTTTAAGTGTGCCCAGTGCAAATCTGTCCCTTGTTGTCAATACAATTGTCCCCAAACAAGCTGTTAAACTGCTCAGCCTGACGGTCCCCAACACTATTCCTTCCAGGGAGGTGAAGGACCGCTGGCCCTCCCTGCCCTGACCTGCTGGGCCTCCCTCACCACAGCTCTGTAGACTAGATTCTGGAGGCTGAGCCTTCTCTATCTCTTCCAGCCTTCCCACGTGCCCCTACCTTTTTAAGTGAGCACCAGAACTAGCTTTGCCCCTACCTTTTTAAGTGAGCACCAGAACTAGCTTTGTTCCTATTCTAAGTGCTAAACCAAGCCTTCTTGATTCATTCATTCACCGATTCATTGTCATGTACTCTATTCAAGTGGGCTGCCCTTTTCTTGGAGGTGCTAGGGGGTGCTGCAGTGGATAGAGCACCAGGCCTGGAGTCAGGAAGACCTGAGTTCAACTCCAGACTCAGACACTAGCTGTGTGACCCTGGGCAAGTCACTTCACCTCTGTTTGCTTTAATCCATTGGAGAAGGAAATAGCAAAGCATGCCAGTATTTCTGCCAAGAAAATCTCATGGATAGAAGGGGCTTGCTATGGTCCATGGAAACAAAACCCTTTTCTTATTCACCTTCTTTTTAACAAATTCTGCTGCAGAGGGGGTTTAATTTCCCCTACAAAGACCAAATTTCTCCATGCCTACCTTGAAGGTCTTTCTTTATAATGGTTACATAATTCCATCATTGATGATTCCTTCAGGTGAGCTATTTCCAGGTGCTCCAGCCCACCCTCCATTCAGAGGCCAAGACCACGCCCTGCCCTCCCCTACCCTCCCGCAATAAGCTCCAGTAGCTCCCAACTGCCTGCTTAGTATGCGATGCTCTTCACTGCCCCTTCTCCAGACTTCTCACACCCTCCTCCCAGACACGGCCTCCTGGCTCTTCCACAAAGACGACATTCCATCTCTCAGGTGACCCACCAAGCCTGGAACACTCTCCTTCCTCATATCTTCTTCTTGGCTTTCCTGGCTAGGAAAAAGTCCCATCTGAAAGCCCACCTTCTATAGGAAGCCTGGATAGAGGGCTGGGCCCAAGGTCAGGAAGACCAGAGTTCAAATCCAGCCTCAGACACTTCCTAACTGTGTGAGCCAGGGAAAGTCACTTGACCCATCTGTGCTTCAGTCTCCTGATCTGCAAAATGAGGATAATAATAACAGCACCTCCCTCCCAGGGTTGTCATGAGAATCAGATGAGATAAAGTTTGAAAAGCACATAGCAAAGTGCCTGGCACATAGTAGGAACCATACAAACGACAGCTAGTATTATTATCATTATTACTCTAGTGTCCCCCTACTACTCAAGTCCATTTCATCCCGCCTCAGGCAGGCGTGTCTGTGCCTAAGCTGTTTGCTCACTGTTGTCTCCCCTATTAAGGAGGTCTTTAGCCTCTCTTTGTATCCCCAGGGCTTAGCACAGTACCAGGCGCACAGCAGGCACTCAATACCCACCATTTTGTCTCCTATGGTTAGGCGGGGGCTTCTGGTCCCTACTCTGTCACAGATATGTTTTCTGAAATAAATAAGCCTGCCCTCCCACTGTATCTGAACCCATCAACCATGCCTGGGCTTCTGTGAAGTTAAGAACCCTCATGCCATCTCTTTTTAAGGCTTTCTAAAAGACTTAATGATATAGAAGCACACATCGCTACGTGTGCACTCAAGCGGCTCCAAAGACCAAGCTCCGTTTCACATCCTGACTGCCCTCACAGGCCCAACAGACAAAGTGCCCACCTTGGAGGCTTCCAGCTCCTTGATCTTCTCCTCGGCCTCGCTCAGTTTGTCCTTCAGAGCCGCTATCTCTTTCTCCATCGGCATCACCACGGAACGCAGTTTTTCCGCATCCTCTTGGGCCTGAGGTGAACAGAAGGGAAGCGCAGGTTCTACTCAGTGTTCTAGCTGTTATTGAAGACTTCAGAATCCCACATTAAACCCTAGTCAGAAGAGCCCCCCTGAACAAATGCGTCACACGGCAGGCACTTTTTTTCTCAAAAGGAAAGGACTCATTTCTGAAATGTTACCACGTGATCGGTCATTTGATTTGGAATCCATAGAGTGACTTTAAAAGGACTTTCTACTCCACAGCGTCCCACAGAAGGTCTCCAGAATAGCCGTAAATAGAAATCTAGCTTCTGTCTGCACAAAGCCTTCAATCATCTGAGTCCGTGCCCTCCCAGGCCCAGTGCATTGTAAACCCCCAGGTTAGAGACTGGGTAATTTTGGAACGTATACACTCTCAGGTCCAAGCACAGAGTCAAGTAGTAAGAACTTCATGAATGGCTGAATTGAAAGGCAAGGCTGGTACCTTTAATGAAGTAGGAAACATCCCATCACTTATTAGTACAACCCTGGAAATATAAAATGCTATTTTACACATGGCTCTCCAGGTGCATAAAACTTGGAACTAATGAAATTCCTGACACGGGAGGGGGGAGAAGGAATCACCACAAGAATGACAGCAGCTGTCACCCATGTCTCTTCTCCTCCCAGACAACCCAAGGATCACCACCGTTGGTCTCCAGCTCCAGGCAGGAAGGCAGAAACATGGTATACACATATCTTGGGATGCTTTGGAGTCACCAAAAAACACTGGCCAGCACAACATCCCACTTTTGGGGCAGCTAGGTGGCGCAGTGGATAGAGCGCCCACCCTGAAGTCAAGAGGACCCGAGTTCAAATCCGGCCTCAGACCAAACACTTGACACTAGCTATGTGACCCTGGGCAAGTCACTTAACCCCAATTACCTAAAAAACAAAACAAAACAAAAAAAACCCCAACATCCCACTTTCATCCCTGCACATCCAAGCTTCCCTGTCATCACACCAAGGCACAAAGAGAAACTTTATTTCCCCAACTACTTCCATTTAAAACTTAGGGAAATGGGAGTGGAGCCAGAAAGAATTTCACTTTGTAGTCAACAGAATGCATCTTTTTACCATGTATAAAGAACTCTATGTAGGAGTAGCATTTCTGTCACATAAATGTGTACCCATCAATGTAGTGAAAACAATCATGATTTATTTCTTCAGGTGAGAAAGAAAAGAGAAATTCTTGATAGAAAATTATGTGATTTTCTGGTCTCAAAAAGGCCTGGCAGGTAACATTTTTGTTCTGTTTTTTGAAATAAGTTGTTATTGCTAGTTTTGTTTTTTATATCACTGTCGATCTCCCCTCCCAAAGAGCAGTCCCGTAGAACAAATGGTATTCATTAAGACATAAAAAGACAAAGAAGAGGGAAAGAATCCGCATGAGTGATGGACAGTTTGGAAAAGCCCGAAAAGGCGTGCCCTGTGTCACACTGGCTGGCTGACCACCTGCCCAAGGGCTGGCTTGGGAGGGTCCGGCTCCATGTCTCCTTCTCAGCCAAGCTCCAGGTTTATCATTTGGACCCTTCAATCTTTTATGTGTGTGGCTCCCCGTCACTGACTTTGTCCTAGTCTCCTCATTTACCCCCCAGCTACCCTGCTGGGTTCAGACTCCAGGCTCATCATCTTGGAGACCTTCTCAGTCCCCTCTGACTGGGGGGCTATACCTGGGTCCCCTCTTCTTGCCCCACCTTCTACTGGCCATGAACTTCACTTCAGGCCATGAATTTTTAAATGATCACACTTCTCCCCAGCACAAAATTCACCCTCAGTCATACAACAAACTGCTACTCGGGGGCTCCCCAAGGCAAGAAGCTAAACACCCCTCTCCTTCCAGTGATAATGGCCCCCTTCATCCCTTCAGTGCTCCCCCATTGGGGTGACTGTGAGGAGGAGACTGAGTTCATGTGCTCTGCAGGGGCCCCCTCCCAGGAGCCTGTCCCTCTAGTGCCTCTCCCCCCTGGCCTTGGCACCTCTTTGGGGCACGCCTCCCCCCCCACCCGATCCTGAGGGAGGTCTCGCCTAATAATGACCCCCAGAGGGTCAAACACCATGGCTGCTCCACAGCGTAAGGGATCCTGGGAAACACTCCAGGAACCAGCAGTCTCGCCTTCTCTGGCCCTCTCATTCAAATGGGTGGTTGTCGAGGGGCAGTTGGCCAGCTAGCCGGATGGCTTCTCACAACTTAATCTACAGATGAGTTAGGACTTTGGAAAAAAATAACAGCAGGCAAAGGGGGAGAAGGGACAGGCATGTGCCGACCACCTGCTCTCCCACGATGGGGGGGTGACCTCCAAGGAGGCCAGAGAATGCACCATTTCTGCTACAGACGGTGGACAGAGCCCCACCCCCACTTCCACCAACACACACAGGACAGACCAGTACCTTTTTCATCTCGTTCTCCAGATTCTCCTCCTCCTGCTCTTCAGACAGCCTCCTGCGCAAATCAGCAATCTCCCTCTCTGCAGCCTCTCTGTACTGCGCCCACTGCGTGCGCTCTTGCTCCAGTCTGTGGTGAAACTGGTGCTCGTAGTCACGGACTGTCTCTACAAAATGTCACATGAGAGAGAGAAAGGGGAAGTGGGGAGAAAGACAGAGAGAAAGAGGGAGGGGAAGAGGAGACGGGGGGAGAGAGGGGGAGAGAGGAAGGGAGGAGAGGGGGAGAGAGAGAAAGAGAGAGAGGGAGGGAGGAAGGAAGGGATGGGGAAGGGAAGGCGGGGGGGGAGGGAGGGAGAGAGAGAGAGAAAGAGAGCGAGAAAGAGAGAAAGGAAAGAAGGGAGAGCAGGAGAGAGAGGGAGGGGGAGAGAGAGGGAAGAGAGAGAAGAGGGAGGGAGGAAGGGATGGGGAGGGGGAAGAAAGAGAGAGAGAGAGGGAGAAAGAAAGGAAAGAAGGGAGAGAAGGAGAGAAAGAGGGAGGGAGGGGGGAGAGAGAGAGAGAGAGAGAGGAAGGAGAGAAAGGAAGGAGAGGGAGTAGGAGGGAGAGGGACAGAGAGAGGGGGGGAGAGAGAGAGAGAACTCTTCTAAGCATTTTGTGCAGCAACACCAGCATACAGACTGACCTTTAAAGAGCAGACGTCCAGGTTCTAGGCCATATTCATTGAGAGAGGGAAGAGGATTGTAGTATGACCGAGATCACCTACAGAATCGCTTGAGGGTAGGCGCATATTTTTGGCCCATTTACAGCCACTGCACCCTAAAATAAACTCACAACTCTAGAAGGCCTCAATAAAGTGCCATCTCCTTTTGACACAATTTTTAAACACTGTAAATAAACGTTCCTAATAAATAAAGCAAACTTCACAAAACTACCATTTCCACCTCATCCAATAAACATCATCATTGAGAAGGGTCAGAGGTCTCAATCAGAAAACAAAAGAAAAGAATTTTTCTCGCAAAAGTGACATAATTTTCTTACCAAAAAAAAAAACCCCAATCGTGAAGCTGATGATAGAAACCTTCCTCTCCCGGGTCTCTCCAGCCCACCCTTCCAGACTCAGTCAGCCCAGGGGTCTCGCACCAGCTTCCCAGCTGTCCCTTCTCTCGAGCCTCTTCAGATCACCTCATGTTGACCTGTGTACTGGACTTTCCCTCCTCAGACTGCACAGCTCCTCCCAGAACCTCCCAGACACACCCCAGACTTTCCCCGAGCCACTCCATACTTGATACCTTCATCTCCCCCTACTCCTTCCATCTTTCTTTTATGGGTGGTCAGACATTCAGCTCCTTGAGGGCAGGGAGGGAGTACATAGTAAGGGCTGCACAACTGACCCCATGCCATCCCATCTCCTCTGGCGGACTGCCTCCTCCCCATCACCCACACTCTCTCAGTTACCTTCAATCTCTCCCTATCTCCTTGCTGCTCCCCACGTCTCTCTCCTCCAACCCTACTGTCACCCTCTGTCTCCCCTGCCCCTTGCAGCCCAAGTCCTCGACGAGGCCCCTCCCACAGATGCCTCCTTTCATTCTCTTTCGGCATTCTGCAGTCTGCCTTCTGACCTCCTCCTTCCACTCAAACTGTTCTCTCCAAAGCTACCGATGCTCTGTGACCAAATCCAACGGCTTCTTCTCTGTGCTCATTCTCCCTGACCTCCTTCTCTCCTCCCTGACACTCCTGTCTCTGGGTTTGCAGGGCCCCATCGCTCAGGTTCTCCTCCTCTCTTCCTTCTCTGTCTCTTCTGTTCCATCAGCTTCTATCCTGGGCCCTCTTGTCTTCTCTCTCTGGCCTAACTTCATTGGGTGCTCTCATCAGCTCACTGATCACATGCCCCTAACCTCTCTGCTGACCTAAAGTCTCTCATTGCCAACTGCCTGTTATCTCTCCAAAGGGATGTTCTGTAAACATCTTGAGCTCAATATGTCCAAAGCAGAGCTTATTCTCTTCCTCCCCTTCCCCTACCTTCGCCATCACTGTCCAGGGCACGTTGCCTGGGGCACACACACTCTGATGAGTCCCTCTAGGTCAGGAAGGTGAGGAGCCGAGCTGAGCTGAGCTGAGCCCCGCGGGTGAGGGGTCACCCTGGACTCCACACTCTCACACACCACCCTCCAGATCTCATCTGGTACCCCTCTGCTCCACCCCTTCCTCTCCTCTGACACTGCCCCCACCACCATCCATGCCCATGTGTGGTCCTCCCCAGAAGATTGGAATCTCTGAGGACAAACGGCTGGCATTTAGTATTTGTTGGACCTTGGGGTGACGGACACTTCCTCCCAAGAGGGATCTGTGCTGCTGTTGGGCACATGGACAAAGGCATGGAAACAGGGAGCCTGAGGATTGAAGGATCAGAGCACATGGTGACCCCCAGGCTGCTCTGGTCCTGTCTATATTCAGCATTCACTTTGGCACCACTGCTGCCATCCAGAAGATGCATCCCTGCCACTGTGCCCTGGGTGCCCCTGGACCATCCGCAGAAATGCCTGAAGACAGCACTTCTGGGACTGGTCTCCCTATCAAGGACATTCCAATTCTGCCCAAGAGTCCTCTGAAACGAGGTATCCTAGGTCACACAGGTCACAACAAGCAGCAGAGACCGAACGGTCCTTGGATTCCACCCTAACCCTAAATGCGCTTCCTCTTTGAAACCACAAGCAATTCCAAAAAACCAAAATACCCAACAGGATGGTCTGGCTTCCCTCTTTCCTGGGAAACCTCAGAATGCTCACCATCATGGACAGCTGGGGGGGGGGGGGGCATGGTGTCTCTACTGGTGCAGACCAGTAGAGGGTCTTGGAGGGACGGCTGCCTCCTTGACTCTATGAGGCCATAGATGAGGGTGCTCAGCTTGGCTGCTCACCAGAACATTTAGAGCCTTCCTGACCTAGAGGGACTCAACAGAGCGTGTGTGCCCCAGGCAGAGACAGACGTTGGGAACCAAGGTCCCCTCCCCAACACGGGAGGAGTCCAGCGTAAGGAAGACTTACATCATGGGCACGTGAAGGCTGAATTTTAGACATGGAGAAAAGAATGTTCAGAATGGTCTCCAAGGCCCTTCAAGGCAGAGGCCAGGAGTCTATGGTTGGCAGGTCCTGACCTGGGGCTCATCATCATGTTCTCTTTCTAGGTCATACCAAGAACAGACTGAGAGAACAAAGTCCTGTGTTCCCCTGGCCAAATGACTTTCATTGATTCCACAAAGCCATTTCCAGAGATCCTCACTTGGGAACTAATTGAACCAACTGTGGTTTATGGCCAAGAGAATGTTACTGTGCAGTAAGAGGGAAAGGAGATGTAACCAGCGGGAGGTTCAAATGAAAACACTCTGAAGGTCTTGGTGGACCACTGGCCCAAGGCAGGAACTGTGCTGCAGCCTTTCCCAGTCTGACAACCCAGCAAGCACTGCATTCACTCGTGGAGTGCTGCAGACAAAACAGGGGTTTGCCCTGAGGAGGAGAAAAGAACTTTGGGAAAACAGGATCAGGGGAAAAAGAGCCTGGTCCTGCTCGGTCCCAGGCAGCCCAAGACGAGGTGGCTCTCCTGCAGCCCTGCCCCCTCCCCGGAAGCCAGCCGTGCCCAGCGGGGCTCCCAGCTAATGGACAAGACAGCATCACAGAGAGATGGGACAGAGAGCTGACCTTGGAGCCAGGAAGACGCCCCTCTGACCTACACTGGGGGAAGGACTTTCCTTACTCACGAGTGCCCTTCCCCAAGGAAATCAAAAGCCAAGCCCCTCTCGCTATTACGTTAAGATTTTGAAACTAAATTTTCCTTTTTTCAGTGAATAAATGTTGATTTTCTTTCCCTTCACCCCAGTCCCCTGACCCTGCCTCAGGAGGCCCATGTCTCTCAGGCTCTTCAGCTGTGGCCAGGGGGCTGCCCACATCCACACTTCTCACCAGGTTCATTCAGCCTCAGACCACGTGGGGCTTCCTCATCTCCTAGGGCACAGGCACATCCATGCAGCTAGAGGGTGCCACCATGCACAGAACGCTGGGCCTGGAGTCAGGAAGACCCGAGTTCAAATTTGGTCACAGACACTTCCTAGCCACGTGACCCTGGGCAAGATACTGAATCTGTCTGCCTCAGTTACTTCAACTGTAAAATGGGGATGACAGCATCTACCTCCCAGGGCTGTTGTGAGGCTCAAATGAAATGTCACTTGTAAAATGCTTAGCCCAGTGCCCGGCACACAGTAGGCATTACATAAATGTTACTATTTTTATTGTTATCAGTCATAATTTGTTCAACCATTCCCCAATGGAAAGATATTCTCTGACTTTCCAGTTCTTGCTACTCAAGAAAGAGCTGCCCCAAACACTGCCAGTGCCTGAGGGTCCTTTCCCTCTTTCCTAGGCGTAGTCTTCATAGTGGCCTTGCTAGGTCAAAGAGGGCAGGGCTTAACAACTTTGGGACAGCCTTCTCAGCTGCTTTCCAGACCATCTGAAGCGCTCCACCATCACGGTGTTCCCTACCGATTTTCCCACCCCTCCTCCAACACTGTCATCTTTGCTAGTCTAATAGGAGTGAGGTGAAACTTCAGTATTTCTCTGATAATTAGTGATTTGGAGCATTTTTTTTTCATGATTATGGATCGCATGTATTTCTTCCTTTGAAAACTACTTGTTCATATCTTTTGAATATCAGTTGGCAAATAATTCTTATTCTTACAAATTTGAAACAGTTCCCTATAAATCTCTTAGAAATAAGACCTTTATTAGGTGTCATGACGGAAAATGCTATCCACACCCAAAGAAAGAATTATGGAGTTTGAATGCAGATCGAAGCATACTAATTGGTATTTTTTTTTGTTCTGTTGTGTTTTGTTTCCTCTTTCTGGTGGTTCTTCCTACTGGTTCTAATTCTTCCTTACAATATGACTAATGTGAAAATATGTTTAATAGGAATGTATATGTAGAGCCTACATCAGATTGTGCGCCGTCTTGGGGAAGGAAGAAGAGAAAAATTAAAACTCAAAAGCTTATGGAAGTGATTGTTGATAAATCAAAATAAATTAATAAAAAAATTTAAAAAAAAAAAAGAAATAAGACCTTTATCAAATAAACTTGCTGCAAATTTTCTTTTCCCAGTTACTGGCTTCCCTTCTGATTTTAGTTACATTGGTTTCATTTCTGAGAAAACTTCTAAATTTTATATGATCAAAAGTATCCACTTTATCATCTGTGATCTCTTAGATCTTATTTGGTCATGGACTCTTCCCCATCAGAGATCTGACAGGTGATTTCCAAGTTCCTCACCCTTTACATTGTGTGTCCGTTTGGACTTTATCTTCCCATAAAGTGTAAAATATTGGTCTACTCCTTGTTTCTGCCAGACTGCTTTCCAGTTTTCCTGGCTGTTTTTGTCACACACTGAGTGAGTCCTTATCCCAGCAGCTGGAGTCTTTGGGTTTATCTAACACCAAGCTACTGGGTTCACCTGTTCCCCGAGTGATGTCTATTCCAACCCCTAAATGCCAAATGGTTTCGGGGGTTTACTGCTTTGTCATCCAGTCCGAGATCTCGCGCTGCTGAGTCTCTTTCCCCCTCCTTCTTTCTCATGATTTCTCTTGAGACTCTTGACCTTTTGCTCCTCCACAGGAGTCTGGTTATTTTTTCTAGCACTCTAAAGAAACCCTTTGGTAGACTGATTGACATGACACTGAATAAGATTAGTTTAGGCAGTAGCATCATTTTTATTCTATTAACCTGGCCTACTCAGAAGCAACTAAGATTCTCTAATCATTCCGTATGCCTTCATTTCTGTCAAGAGTGCTTTGCACTGGGAGTCACCACGATTAAGATGTTCTGCAATGTCCTCAAAGCCAGGATCAGATCACACATACTAAAGATGGCCCCTTCTCCTCTACCTGGATGCCACCACAGTCTCCTTTGGAGCTGCGAGGCCGCCCCTTCCCCCATCAGACCAAATGTTGGCAGCATCCCTCCCCTCCTGGGTCAGGCCACAGCAACGCCCCTTCCTCGCATACCTTTCATGACGGCCTGCAAGGAGGCGACCTCTTCTTGCCACTGCCTCTTCACCTCATCGATGGCTTCCTGTTTGGTGTTCTCGGACACCGTGGCGACGGCCTTGATGTTCTCCATCTCGGCCTGGGCTTCCCACAGCTGTGTCCGGAGGTGCCCGAGGTCGTCTTGAGCTGCCTGCAGGACAGCATTCTGCCTTTTCAAGTCCTCTGAAGAGAGGAAAGACTCTGTTAGAGCGGGCAGAGGGGCATGTGAGTGTGTGTGCGCTGCTCTGCAGGGCGTCTTATCCTAGAGGGTCCATGCAAGGATGGACCCAGGCCCCGTGGTAGAACGTGGGGGCTCCTCTCGGATAGCATCCTGCCGAGCCACGGGTGTTTCTTTCAGCCCGACTTGCTGCAGAGCTGCGTGAGCCCTCGTAGCCTCTCTGGGTCCAGACGGGGTTCCGTGTTGTCACACACGCTCGCGTACACTCACCCCTCAGCTGACATAAACTGTTTGCATCCCCAACTGGCCTCTCTGTGTCTTTGGAAATCAAGACAAGCGCCAGTCGGTCTGTGCCAGGCTGGGACCTGTGTGGATAAGCAGCCCATCCTGTCTTCATGGTCTAGGGGATCCCGAAGGAAAAGAAGTCAGCTTTTGCCATGGCCTTGCCTCTCCCCTTCAGGAGGGGTTTTGTCCTTGTCCCCCTCCTATGCCATGTCCCTCTAGGTGGAGATTTCTGCTATCTCCCCCTTCCTTTATCTTGCTGTTATACATGTACAAACTCCTGCATGGATTCTGAGCTCTTTGGGTTCCACATGCGTGTTCGTTTCTCATGTAAAAAACCTAGTTTTCACACAAGTTTTGTGAAGTTGTGACTGACTCCTGCCACCTACCTGTCCTTTGTTTGGTCACTCCCCACCAAAGATCTGAAAGGTCATTTCTCCTTTGGTCCTCCAACATGCTTATGACATCACTTTTTGTGCCTAAATCCATGTCCATTTGGACCTTATCTTGGTACAGAGTGTGAGATGTTGGCCTGCACCCGACTTCTGCCAGACTGCTTTGCAATTTTCCCAGCAGAGAGCGAGGCCTACCCCTAGCAGCTGGTGTCTTTGGGTTTAATGAGCACAAGGCTACGAGGTTCATTCACTTCCATGTGTAATAAGCTTCAATCTGTCCCACTGACTCATAGAGCTCCTGAGTGTGTCTTGGGAGATAAGACTTCCAAATGTTTTACAGCTTCTGCAGTGATTCTGAATCAAATTTCTCTCTATACAGCTCTTCCTGCTGGTTTTCTCGTTAACATATGGAGTGTTGTTGATTTGGGGGAAACTTTGTTTCCCCTTTATTACCTATGCTCATTGCCTCAATTCCTTTCTTATGTTACTGACAGAGCTGGTATTTCTGGTTTATTTCAAACAGCAGTAATAGAAGTAAACCATTAGGCTGTGAGCTCCTTGAGGGCAGGGACTATGTTTAGACAATTAGGGAGCAGAGAGGATAGAGTGCTGGGCTGGAGTCAGAAAAACTTGAAGTCAATCCAGCCTCAGACATGTAATAGCTATGTGACCTAGGCAAGGTCACTTAACCTGTTTGCCTCAGTTTCCTCATCTGTAAAATAAGGATAATAACAGCACCTACCTCCCAGGGCTGTTGTATCAAACAAGATAATAATTGTGAAGTGCTTAGCTTACAGCCTGGCATATAAATGCTATATAAATATTCCCTGTTATTAGTACTCATTATTATTATAATTTTGCCTCTTTGTGTATCCCTGGCGCTTGGCACAGTGCCTGGCACACACTAAGTGCTTAATAAATATTTGATTTACTGGCTGAATAGTAGTGGTGATAATGGGCATCCTTGATTTACCCAATCTGATTGGCCTTCACGACTTCTTTCTAGTACATTGAACATTTGATCTTGGATTAGATTATTTACCAAATTAAGAAAAAGTCCATGCATTCCTATGTCTTCTAGGGCTTAAACTGAAATAAGCATTGGATCTTGTCAAATACTTTTTCAGCATCTACCGATATAATCATAGGATGTTTTTTATACACATACACACAGGGGCGCATGTGCATGAATACACACATATATGTGTTTGTATATACACATATGTATATCTACATTATGATTAATATGATTTATTACGTTTACAATCTTCTTTATTTTGAACCAACTCTGCATTTCTGGTACAGATACAACTTTGTCATAGTGTGTAACCTTTCTAGTATATAGCTGAAGTCGATTTGATGACATTTTACTTAAAATTTCTTCATCAATATTCGTTAGCAATATTGACTATTGTTTTCCTTTCTCTACTTTATCTCTCTGTGTTTTAGATATCAAGACCATGTTTGTATCAGATAGAGATTTGACGGGGGCCTTATTTTCCTATTATTGTAACAGTTTATATAATATTGGAATTAATTATTCTTTTTATTTGTGATAGGTTTCACTTGTAAACCCAAAAAATCATGATTTTTTCTTCAAGAGTTCATTTGTGGCTTATTCAATTGCTTTCTGATACTTGGTTATTCAAATAGTCTATTTGGTTTGGGTTTTTTTCCCGCTAATCTGAGTACTTTATATTGTTAAAGAATTAATATAGTTCCTCTAGATTATCAGTTTTGTTAGCATATAAATGGACAAAATACTTTCTGATTATTTCCTCTACTTCCCCTTCAACTGTTGTGAATTCTTTTTCGTGCTCACAGAAAAAATTTGGTTTTTCTCTTTTTAAAATCAGATTAACTACTTAACTATTTTAGTTTAGAAAAAAAAAGAAACCTGGAACCTAATTTTATGAATTCAATAGTTCCTTTGTTTTCAATTTTACCAATCTCTCTTTTAATTTTCATAATTTCTACCCTGTAGTTCAGTTAGAGGTTTTTTATTGCCATTCGAGTTTTTTAATCACGTGCCCAATTTACCGATTTGTTCTTTTTCTCTTGTTGATGAAAATGTTTAAAAATACAAATTTTTTTTCTTTTCTTTTTTTTTGTGAGGCATTTGGGGTTAAGTGACTTGCCCAGGGTCATAGAGCTAGTAAGTGTTACGTGTCTGAGGCCGAATTTGAACTCAGGTCCTCCTGACTCCAGGGCTGGTGCTCTATCCACTGCACCACCTAGCTGCCCCTAAAAATACAAATTTTCTGAAGAGAACTGCTTAAAATGTATCCCAAGTTTTGGTATGTTGTCTGTCATTTTCTTTTATGAAATTTTCCATTATTTATATAATTTGTTCTTTGAGCCACTACTTCTGCAGTATTATGTTATTTAGCCTCCAATTACTTTTTAATTCTTCAAATGCCCCTTACTGAATATATTTTTATTGCTTTGTGATCAATAAATGATGTGTTCAGTATTTCTGTCTTTCCTACATTTTTTTGGTGAGGTCTTTATGCCCCATTACATGGTCAATTTTCATAAAGCCGTGTTTAAACCATGGTAAAGCCAAAACATATGTAAATTACTTTCTATTTGCATTCAAAAATTGCCAAAGATCTTACATCTCTAATCTTTCATAAATTCGGTTTATCTTTTGGTTAGATTTGTCTAGGTCTGGAAGGAGTAGATTAAAGGGACTCACTATGATGATGGTTTTGCCATTTATTTCTCCCACCAATTGGATTACCTTTTCCTTTAAGTACGTAGATTCTATGTATTAGGTTCATATACATTAAATATTGAAAGTGATTGGTTATCTCTGGTTTCTTCAGGCATAATAATCTCTTTTTATCTTGTCTCTAATTACAGCCTCCTCTGAAATCACAATTTTTTGTGATTTTGCTCCAGCCTCTCATTTTAATTCAAAGTCAGGGGTGGGGAACCTGTGGCCTTGAGGCCACATGTTCTGTAAAATTTGGATTCAGTCAAAAAGCCACACTTAAGGATCTAGAAGGCCTCAAGGCCGCAGGTTCCCCATCCCTGCTCTAAGTGTCTTTGTGTTTCAAGTGTGTTTCTTAAAAACAACATATTGTTGAATGCAGTTTTCTAATGCAGGAGTATGCAAACAAAAATGTAGAAAAGAGGTGGGGGCTGGAGTTGGCCCAAAGGCCACAGTCTGGCCATCTGACAACCCCGTGCCCTCCTCTATCCTATGGGTGTCTTCACCTCCCTCAGGTTTTCAATCGTGGTTGTGAACCGCTTCCCTCCATCCTGGTCCTTCCCTGCTTCTCCCTCTTCACCAAGAGGGAGGGGAGGAAGTTGAAATTGTCCTGAGGCTTGCATCCTCCCCTTCCTGTGGCCCTGCCCCCATCCAAGGCTATTTTTGTTCACTCCTTTTACTCCCCCTTGACATTCCTCTCTTGAGCACTGGAGTCTCTTCTGCTTATGGCCACCCCTTTAGCTATGGATGAATAAAGCCAAGGCCTGTGCTAAGCCCTGGGGATTCAGATAGAAAAGATGGCCAGTGTCTGCTCTTGAGGGGTTCACAGTCTAATGGGGGAGACCCCATGACAGGAAGGTTTCAGGTCCCTGGGTCCTTGGAGGGCAGTGGCAAAGCAGGCAGTTCTGCATCTTAGTCTCCAATGGCATTTTTATGGATCAAATCCTTTCAGTGTCTGATGTGGAACCAGTACCCTGGGGACTAGAATTCTATTTTCTGGGTCTTCAGTAGCTGTGGCAAATTTAGGAATAGTAATTACTTCCCCAGATGATAGCTGTAAGAACTGGTGCTTTGGGGGGCAATATTATCCCCAAAGCTCTTAGGTTCAGAGTCCTGAGCTGTCCATCAGTATCTGAGGGGAGATGGGGGTATTTTGACTTGCCTAGAACAAACCAGGGAAACCAAGAGGCAGAAAGCAGGGAGTGCCTTCCAGGCACAGGGGATGCTTAGCATTAGGGCCACTGTCACTCGAGTGCAGAGTACACAAGAGATAAGGAGGAGGGAGAAGTAAAGGCAGACAGAGGTGAAGTGACTTGCCCAGGGTCACACAGCTAGTGTCTGAGATGAGATTTGAACTCAGGTCTTCCTGACTCTAGACTGGGTGCTGTGGACGCTGCAGCTCCCCCTTGCTGCGAATGGATAGATCGATTAAGTATGGGCTTTTTGTGGATGGGGGAGACAAGGATCTGTTTGCAGGCAGGAGAGAAGGAAAGATTGAAGGTAAGTACAAGAGTGAGGATGACAGAGGGGCATCTGCCAGAGAAGACAGGATGAGATGAGAGGGGCGGGGAGGGGAGAGGAGGGGAGAGGACGGGAGGGGACGGGAAGGGACGGGAGGGGAGAGGAGAGGAGGGGAGGAGAGGGGGAGAGGAGAGGAGAGGAGAGGGGAGGGGAGGGGATAGGATAGGATGGGATCACTGCAGCAGATGGAGGAGTTAGTGAGGTCACAGAACCAGGACAGCACGGGATGGCAGACTGTGCTCAGATAGGGGAAGGTGCACACCTGTGGGCAATGTCAAACTCTAGTATGTGACCCCCCCCCCCCCCCAGTGTGGCTGAAGGCCAGAGAAAGTGTACGTCCTAGGGAGATGCAAGGAGGCTGAGCGGTGTTTGGATATTCAACCCCTCCAGCATAAAGACAGAGGTTGAGGAGGAGAGGACGAGGATCTGCATGGAGAAAGTAGAGAAAGAATGACCCAGGGGTCTGGACATTGCAGCCCCACAATTTGGAATGGGAAGGAACTTTAAAGGAGGAAAAGCTCCCAAAGAAGACTCTGAAGGCGAGATGGGGCGCTCGGATGTTCTGACTCTCCTTCCAGGGCCACTGTGATGGGGCGTGTGAGTGAAGGTGCCCCTGGAGGGCAGAAAAAAGCTGAGGGTACACTGGGACCAGAGAGGGCATCAGGTCTCAGTGAGGCTGAGATGGAAAGCTTTCGAGAGGAGAACCAGGATGAAGGGGAGATTGGGAATGTTGGAGGGAGAAGAGGACAGGTCAGGTAGAAGGGGAGGGCGGAGAGAAAAGGAAGAAGGAGCAGGAGCCAGCTTTCTCCTAAAAGGCTACTGACAATGAAAGAGATGAAGAGAGAAACAGAAGAACCCATGAGGGTAACAGTAGGTGGCAGAGAGGGAGAGAAGTCCAGAGTGTCCTCGGGTGTTCCCCAGAGAGCCTGGCCAGAGCTGGGAGGCCAGCGAGGCGTGGTGGGGGCATATGCCCTCCCCTTGGGCTGCAGCCAAGCCTGGCTCCGAGTCTGGCCTTGGGCCAGCCAGGTGCAGAACAGGTGGCCTTGCTCTCCTCCTCCTCTGGGTGGCTGGTGAAGGAGGGAAGGGGGAGGTTTAGAGGAAGGTACAGGAAGACACCAACTCATGCCAAGAATCAGAAAAATATTGACAATAGCTACCAAGCTTGGCACCAAAGAAGAGGAAAGAAACCAGCCCTTCCCCTTTCTTTGCAGATGTGGGGGGCTATGGAAGTGGAACCAAGCGAACACTGTCAGACTTCACAACACTTGGCAACACACTGCTTTGTCTGGGTGAAGTCAGTTTTTTTTCTCTTTCATTTGTATTTTTTGTTACAAGGTACGGCCCTCTGAGCTGGGGAGGGAGAAGGGCTATGCTGAGAAATGAAGGTGATGTAAAAACAAATGATATCAATAAAAATGTATAAATAAATAAAAAAATACTGAAGTGCTGACAATTGTAGAAAGCAGTCACTTCCAAAGGTGCCCTACTCTGGGTGTGATGGGGATGGGGCAAAGAGGAAGCAAGAGGCCCCATTTCTCATCTCCTGGTCCCCTCCCCCTGCTATGGGGCTCCAAGGCACAGACACTGACAGCAGGGGGGTGGGGGGGGTGGCGTCCAGCTGGCCACCTTGCAGGAGCTGCCTAGGAACCGCAGACCTGGGGGACTCACCTTCTTTGGCCAAATACAGCTCTTTAAATTTGGCTCTCTTTTGATTAAATTCTTGCTCAAGCTGCTGCTTTGTGCGTAAGAACTCTGCGTTGACTTTTTCCAGCTCTGCCACCCGCTGCTGGAGAGAAACTGAAAGAAAAAAACCCAACAGAGTCTCACTGCTTTAAGAGAACTTCACCTTGTCCACACACCAAGCAAAGTCCACGACCATTCCCACCTAGGATCAAGCATCCCTGAACCCCCACAGATCCAGATCCCATCCAGAAAAGTCTGATGGGAATCCAAGCCCTTCCCAGAGGGCATCCTGTGTACAGCTAGGTGCTGAGGGAGCTTTCATTTTGCCCAAACTGGATGAGATTCTTGGGCTCTCAACTCAATGTGGGAAGTTGTTCTGCTTGACTCTGCATATTTGTCACAAGGGTTTTGTGTGTCTTTTTGTTGGGAGGTGGGGGGAGGACCAGGAGAGAAAGAAATGATTGTGCATTGAAAAAAATTAATTTAAAAACCACAAACCCTTGGCTCCACCATCCCATAAGCCATCTCACCAATATCATTCACTCCTGCTTTGTATTCTTGGGTCAGATCAAAATCTCGATTTGTCCCCTCCTCCACGACACAACAGGACATATCAATTACTAGTCTGATTTAATCTACTTTGCTACCAAGACTACTTAAGAATATTCCACTCTCATTAAAAACAACCACCACCACCTCTTTTCCTTCATTTCAGGTTCTTGAAAAACACCTGTTTCATTCAGTTATTTAAATAGGGTAGGCTGCAGGGCCTCATTCATTAAATGTGGCCCACCCCACCTGCAGCAGACTTGGCGGTTCAGCCCTCCTCCTGTCATCCCTTCCCCATCTCTGGGGGCAGGACCTTGAGGGCATTACTATAAATTTTCTCCACTGGCCAGACCACACACCACACTGATGGGCACTCAGGTGCTATATGCACATGAGTAAGCTCTGGCTCTCACATCTGCAATGTGGGGGGCACCCAAGACCCCTCTGGTTCTAAGAGTAAGGACAAGGAAAACCCCACAGAACCTTGGAAACAGAAATGATTATTCCATTAAGGTCCCAGGCCCTTCCGTCTTCTCCAGCAGAGTGCACCCACCCTTAAGCACCTACTCCCTATCGCTGGTTTCAAACCAAGTCTCAAACCATCCACCAGACAGTACCTTCCCCTCCAGCTCTCACATCTCTCATTGTCATGCTCACAGCCTCCACTTCTTCTCCCCTCCCTCACTCCTTGACCCTCTGCAGTCTGGCTTCCTACCCTCATCACTCCCCTGGAACTGCTCTCTCCAGAAGGAGCAATGGGAGATCTGACCATCATTCCACAGGCCTCTCGCCGCCTCATCTGACACAGGTGACCACCCTGCTCTTCTCCTGGGCACTCTCTCCTCTCTGGATTTTCATGACATTACCCCTCCTTCTAGGTCTCCGTTACCAGCTCACAATCCATACTGCACACTCTAATTGTGGGTGTTCCCAACGTTCTGTGCTAGGCCTTCTTCTATATTCTCTCTCTTAGTCACCTCCTGATGCAACGGACAGAAGGTGATGGGCCTAGAGTCAAGAAGACCTGAATTCAAATCTGGCCTCAGACATTTACTAGCTGTGTGACCCTGGGCAAGTCACATCACTTGTTTCTCTCAGCTTCCTCATCTGTTAAATGGGGATAATAATAGCACCTACTTCCCAAGGCTGCGAGGACCAAAAGAAATAACAATTGCCCCCTCCCCCAGAACCGGTGGCTGGCATAAGTGCTATTATCATCATTACTGTTATTTTACTACTATCTTTATGCAGATGACTCCCAGATTTCTCATTCCTGCCCAAGTTTCTCCTCTGGGTTTCTTCACTTCTGCATCACTGGTTGCCTACTGGATACTCCAATTGGATGTCTCAGAGCCAGCCTGGACTTACTCTTTTTCTCCCTAACCTTCTCCTCTTCCAGACTTCCTTATTTCTGTCAAAGGTACCACCACCCTTCCAACCTCCAGGCTGGTTACCCAGCCCATCCTGAACTCATCAGACTCCTCTATCCCACACCTTGCCATTTCTCCCTTCACAGGAGCTCTCCTCCAACACAGCGAGTGGCACCTGACCTCAGCAGAGGCCACACTCAATCAACTCCAGGGGTGTCATGGACCTCTTTTCAGAATTAAAATATATAATATTACAAAGGAAACCAATTATACTGAAGTACATTTATCATTTTTTTTTTAAGTGCACGAACCCCAGGTTAAAAGTCCTGCTACAGGATCCAACAGAAACCTCTTTGCTAATGACGTGTCCTGGGTAACCATCTGTCTTCCCAGCCTCACTGGCCATTGCTTCTTTCCCATTCTCTGGCACCCAGCCCAACTGGCCTGCCCTCTGCTCCTCAAAGGCATCATTCCATCTCCCATTCCTGCACCCACCATGCTTGTTTGTACCCAACACCCACTATGCTTGGAATGCAGGCCTTCCTCACCGACATCTCAGAAAGTCCCAACCCACCTCAGACCCCCAAGCAGTCATGCCCTCCCTCCCAAACTGTGTTGTATTTAACTATCTTGTATATAAATTTATACATTTATGTTGTATTTATTTTTTAATCTGTATTTGTTATCTTTACCATTAGAATGTGAACAGAGCTAGTTTCATTCTTTGTCTTTCTATCCTCATTGCCGAGCACATAGTAGGTGGTTTCTGAATACAGTGATTAGGGCCACTATTGGGTCAGAGCTTTCACTTGGTTGGTTGAATGTTTGACAACCTTATGAGAACAGAATTCACGGAACATAGCCAGTGATGGCCAATGAGTTGCGGCTTCTTACAACATGACTACTATGGAAGTGTTTTGCATGACTACACATGTATAACCTGTATCGAGTTGCTTGCCATCTCAATGAGGACAGGTGGGAATGGAGGGAGAAAATTTGGAACCCAAAGTTTTAAAAACAAAAGTTAAAAATTGTTTTCACATGCAACTGGGAAATAAGATAAACAGGCAATGGGGTACAGAAATCTACCCTGCCCTACAAGAAAATAAAAGGGGAAGGGGATAAGAGAAGTGTGGGGAGAAGATAGAAGGGAGGGCAGATTAGGGGAAGGGGCATTCAGAATGCATTCCATCTTGGGGTGGGGGAAGGGACAACGTGGGGAGAAAATTTGGAACTCAAAATCTTGTGGAAGTGAATGTTGAAAACTAAAAACAAAAAAATTAATAGGAAAAAATCTCCTTTTTTAGCTTCTCTAGAAATATTAAGAAATAATATTTCTCTCTAAAGTTCTTTCCAGAGTCCTGGGGACAGACAGCCTTTGGACTAGTGGAAGGGATAGGTCAGGATACAAAGGCTTTTCATGAGCTGAAACTTCACCAAGAACACAACCAAGGCCCTGTGGGAGAGCCTCTAGCTCGTCAAGGGATTAGAATTGGGTCTGTTCAGCAGAACTCCCCTCTTCCATTCTATGGGAGTCACGATTCTAGATGCAGATCTCTGGGAAGTATCCTTGGATAGGAATGGGAGGCTACTGACTGGTTACTCAGCAAAGCCTGGAATGTTTGTGGAGATTGTAATTTTAAGATTTTTTTCCTCATTACGATATTTTGGGCAATCATGTCAGAGGGCACGGGGGAGCGGGGGGAGAACTGTGTCAGTTTGGACATTTCCCTCTCCAAGCTGGAAATGTTGTGAATATAGAATAACGTCATATTAAATAAAACTGTGTCTGGCTAACGGGTGGCTAAACATAGAATACAGTCCTAGTACTAATACTCTTTCTTCGACAACATAAAACAGTTCCTTCTAACATTCTCCCTCACATGGGGTCAGTGGCAGCCAACACATCCCCTGTGCTACATTGTGTCAGATGATTGGTCCACATCCCAGTTTACCCACAGAGAAGCACATCATACTTTGTGACAGAAACAGTAAACATTTTATCCTAAAAAGTTTGGCTTTTGCCACCCTCCCCACCCCCGATTCCCTAGGAATATCCAGGGATGGACCTTTACGAGGGACTAACTCACTCTGTCAGTCGATAAGCACTTATTAAGCACCTACTATGTACCAGGCATTGTACCAAGCCCTAGGGATATAAAGAAAGGCAAAAGACAGTGTGGCCTTAGACGAGTGGGCGTGCTTGATCATGGCCTTCCAACAGTCTGGCATTGCAAATATCATGATCAATGGAGATCGGGGGATTCCTTGGAGCTGGGGGGGGGGGGTGGTCTTCAGAAGCTGCCTAATCAGACTCACGCCAGAACAAGACTGTCTCTGTCCTCTGACTGTGGCAGACACCATTACCTCAGGGGCGGCCATTCGCTTTCCTTAGAACAGCCAAATGCTGCCTCGTTGCAGAGTCTATCTGTTGCATACTATCAACCCTGCTCTCTCTCTCTCGAGCCACGCAGAAGACAAGTCCAAGGCCCCACCCCAAGCCCCAGCATTCCCATAAGAGAAGACAGCTCTCATGGCCCTTCTATGTCCTCCTAGTCAGGAAAACCATCTCGAGTTGCTTCAGGGGCCTTCCTAGGACTCATTCTCCCTTTGCCACTTGGATACTCTCTTCAGGACAAGCTTGCACCGTCTATGTCTTTCCTAAATCATGGTGCCCATGATCAAACATGGAGCTCCAGATGTGGCCTGACCAGCAGGGAATAAACAAGAATGAAGATTTCCTTACTCTGGACACTTAGGCCTCCCTTAACACAGCCTAAGGTGGCACTGGCTTTGTTGTCATCTCACACTATTTGTTATTAGTAGTAATAACAATAATACTAGAGAGAGAGAGGGAGATAGAGAGAGAGAAAGAGAGAGAGAGAGTGTAAAACTTTAAGCTTATTTCATCATTTGATCCTCAGAACAGCCCTGGAAGATGGGTGCTATTTTTATCCTCATTTTTACAGATAAGGAAACTGAGGGTAAAAAGGGTTCAGTGACTGGCCCAGGGTCACACAGCTAGTCAGAATCAGAAGCCAGTGGACTCAGAGTCCATTCAATTTACCAAAAATTAATTAAGCATCAACTAGGTACAAAGTACTGCACAAAGCCCTGCCAAGTGCCAGGGAAAGGGAAAAATAAAACCAAAAATGGCCCTGCCCTCAGTAAGCTTATTTCTGCTGGGAAATGTAC